CGTCTACACCGCGTGCCCTTCCTCCACGGGGTCCTGTGAGCACGCACCCCCTCAGCAGTCCCCGCCCAGGCGGCTTCGCACCTCCTCCTCCGGGGCTGGGTCCTGAGGAGACCGGGCTCCCGTCGGTGTGGACACGGACCCACGGCCTCCGCAGCGGGTTCTGCCAGCGTGTAGACGGCCCACATCCTCCGCAGCGGGTTCTGCCAGCATGGACATGGCCCCACGGCCTCCGCAGCCGGTCCTGAGCAGGCGGAACACCTGTCAGGGCAGGTGCACGGGCGGCCGCAGACAGAGCACGCCTCCCTCGGGTCCGGGAGCCAGGCCCCGGGCGCCCCCTGCGGGCGGCGGAGGCAGTGCAGCACTCACTGGGCTTCCTGCGGTCAGACTGAATCCGTTAACTTTAGGAATTTCAACCTGAAAGGGAGCCCAGTAACCCGTGACTTCTCCAGAAATACTTAAGGAACAATTAATTGGAAACAGTATGCCATACAAAGCAATGCAATGAAATACAGGCACAAACTTTACAACTGACACCAAAATTCACTAAAAATTGCAGATAAACTTAAAGGGCAAAACTACTGAAATATCAAAAAGAAAATATAAAATCTACATGATGAGTGTGGTGTGGTGATGAGCTTTAACACAATGCCAAAACCAGTCCACAAAAGAAAAAAGCTGATAACATGAACTTTATAAAATTAAAACTACTCTGTGAAAGACCTTGCTCAGAGAGCCAAAAGACAAGCCCACACCCTGGGAGAAAATATTTGCAAAACACACATCTGGTAATGGATTTGTATTCAAAATATGCAAAGGACTCTCAGAAAACTCTCAGAATTCAACAAACAGAAAACATACAACCTCAATGAAAATGGGTAAAAATCTGAACAGACATTTGGCCAAAGAAGACATACAGATAGTAAATAAGCACACAAAAATATGCTCTCCATCCTCTACCATTAGGAAATTACAAATTGTACACACCTATTAACTGCTAAACTCCAAAATAAATAAATAAATAAATGGCGGTATCAATTGTTGGAGGATACGGAATGAGAGGAGGTCTCCTTCACCAGGGGAACGCATATACAGGCACTTTGGAAGTGAAAATTAGTAACGGGAAACCTCACTAAAACGGAGTCTGGGAAGGTTCCATCAGGGAGGGTCTCACACCTACCACTCTACATCAATTGCAGACCCAACAGGAAGACATAGACCTTGCCCAGTATGTACCATTTTACTGTCCCAGAAGGAAGAAAGAAGGTTTCCTCCTCCCAAGCAACAGCTCAGCCAATAAGAAGCCACTACACTTCGAGCCCCCAGTTTACTCCAGTGGACTTTCGGTTTATGACAGCCCCTCCCAACTTCCCGCTTTCCTCTCTAAAAGAGCAATGATCCTCTGCTTTGTTCAGTGTACTTGCCTATGGTTTTGTCTAAGCTTGCTTGTCCTGGATTGAAATTCTCAACTACTCCCAAATAAACCCATTTTTGCTGGTAAAATAATTGTCAATTTCATTTTTAAGTTAACGAAGACAGTTTGACATTTTCCCCCAAAGCTGAACAAGTCTCACCTTTGGATCCAACCATCATCACACTTTAGCTGTTTAGATAACTGCTTTGGAAAACCGTTTCCAAACAAAAACTCACATTCAGCTATACATAGCAGCTCTATTCATAATGGCTAAAATTTTAAAGAAATCAGGAAGTCCTTCAACAGATGAATCCATAATCAAACTGTGGTGCATCCATGTGAAGGAAGCAGAACACTCCACTTCAGAATATGGCTCTTTGGCACAAGGATTACTTGGGCCTGATTAATTTTAAGAAAGCAGACAGGGGCACCTGGGTGGCTCAGTCAGATAAGCGGCTGACTTCAGCTCAGGTCATGATCCCAGGGCACGTGCGCTCTCTCTCTCTGACAAATAAATTTAAAAATCGAAAGAAAGAAAGAAAAGGAAAGAAAGAAAGAAAGAAGAAAGAAAGAAAGAAAGAAAGAAAGAAAGAAAGAAAGAAAGAAAGAAAGAAAAGAAAGAAAGAAAAAGAAAGAAGAAAGAAAGAAAGAAAGAAAGAAAGAAAGAAAGAAAGAAAGAAAGAAAGAAAAAGAAACAGCAGATAAAGAAGACTCTCTGAAAACCGAGTAGAAGTTGTCCTGTAGTGAGCAAAATTTACATTTATAAAGGAACTCTCCATCTGTAAGGGTATCTCCCTCTCTGCACTAGAAACGGAAGGATGACTAAATCTCAAGAAACTCTTATTAGTGGACAAGGCCTGAACTTAAACCTGCACAACAACCTTATCCTTATATGCTGTCCTTGGTCTGATAACCTCCCTTAACTGGCCTTCTCACCACCCAAAAACTTTGTCGTTAGCTGAAGATGGTATTTAAAGTGATTACTTGGGCCATTTCAGGGAGCTAATCAGTTTTCCTGAGTATCTCCCATGTACACAAGATGTATACATGTTATTAAACTTCGTTTTTCTCCTGTTCATCTTTTATTGCTAGAAGTGGTCTCAGCCAAGAACCTAGAAGAGTAAAGGAAAAATTATTTTTAGTCACCTATATATGCAATGCAATACTATTCAGCAGTAGAAAGGAATGAAACATCAACCCCTACAAAGACATTGATGAATCTAACACGTATTTGCTAAGTAAAAGAATCCAGTCTGAAGAGACTACACACTGTATGGCGCCATTTATAGGACATTCTGGAAAAGGCAAAACTACAGAGATGATAAACGGATCATGGGGTTAGGGTTTGAGGTATCCCATATGATATTTTAGTGATGAATACTTGCCACCATGCATTTGTCAAAACTCATAGATTTTTATAGCCTGAGGAGTACATCATAATTATTCAAATTGAATTATTTAGGATGTGGGATTGTCACAGGACGGAATGCAGAATGTGACAAATAACCTAACTGTATTAGAAATGAAATGTACGGAAAAACTCACTGTCGGTGGTGGGGCACCAGGTTCGGAAATGAATGGAATGTGTAGACTGAAGTCACATAGAGAGTGGACTCTATTTTATAAAGTTCCTTCCCATGATGGCAGTAGCCAATGATGCTGAAGCACTTACGTCTGTAAGATAAAATGGAGCAGTGAATTAAGTAAATGATAAATGGTAGGAGCCCAGTTCCTCACTGTTAGAGTGGTCAGTTACGGATGAGCAAAGGGAGATTACAGTATCTATGTGATAATGGATCAGGTTAGAGACACCCGTATAAACTCTTTAGCTTAATATGCATACAGACAGTTCCACATAATAACTATCAATGTGAAGGTCAAATACCAGTTATGTTAGCAGTAAAATGAGTTTATTTGGGAATAGCGGAAGAATTACAATCTGGGACAAGTGAGCTATGGCAAACCACAGGAACACTTGAAGAGAAAAAGTGAATCTCAGCTTCTATTAGGTTTTAGGAGGACACTGGGGAGGGCTGTTCTAAACTAAAGTTCACTGGGGATGCCAACAGAAGCCATCTCCTAGCTTTGTCCTCACTGCCCCAAATTGTCCCAAAGCTGCAGGGGTATCCTCAAGCCCACTCATACCCTCATCTAGGTGTGTGCCTGACTCTGAGGCTAGGATATGCATGCTCTCCCTCAGGTCAGAGAGCCAGGGTAGAGAGTACCCTACTGTCCACTAGGCTGCAGCACAGGATACACCCCACTCACAGTTTAGCCCTTCAGGGGGCACGTCCAGTGAATCCCTGAAATTCAGCGTTCTGATTATTCAGTGCCATAATTTGTAAATTCCAATTGAAATAGAGCCCATCAAAGAAGTAAAATATAAAAAAGGTCCAGTGCTATGGTCTGAGTTTGTTTCCCCGCAAATGCACGTTGGAATCCTAATGCCGGATGTGATGGTGTTAGACCAGGATGCCTTTGGGAGGTGATTAGCTTGTGAATGGGATTACTCCCCCTATAAAAGACCCTAAGCCATTCCCTACATGTGAAAATATGAGGAGCGTGCCACCTCAAAGAGGGCCCTCACCCGATCATGTCAGCACCCTGATCTCAGACTTCCAGCTCAGCAACTATGAGAAATGAATTTCTGTTTATAAGCCACCCAAAATGCAATAGTTTTGCCTTAGCAGTCCAGATGGGCTAAAGCAATCAGCAACCAGTCTGATCCCGAACACTACCCCTAACTTTGTCCCTAAACCCTGGGCCCTTACTTCTGATCTCTAGCCCTCACCCTGGCCCTAGATCCTGACCCTGAGCGGAGGCCCCAATCCTTTTTTTTTTTTTTTTAAGGTTTTATTTATTTACTTGACCGAGAGAGATCACAAGTAGGCAGAGCGGCAGGCAGAGGGAGAGGGAGAAGCAGGCTCTCCACTGAGCAGGGAGCCCGACGCCAGGCTCAATCTCAGGACCCTGGGATCATGACCTGAGCCAAAGGCAGCCACTTAATCAACTGAGCCACTCAGGCACCCCTAGGCCCCAATCCTAAAGCATGGCCCTGGCACCTGGTCCCTGACCCCCCCAAACCCAACCCTAAACGTAAATTCTCACCATCACCCTAACCCTCATCCCTTGCTGCCATGAAAATATGTTACCGTTACCCAATTATCTTTTGTTTAACCTTTTCGCGAAATAGGAAAATTGTGCCCAAAAACTAACCATAAACACCCTTCAGACACGTATTCTCTCATGGAGTCCGAGCTACCACTTTTCTGTTTTGCCATTCAAACTAAGTGTGTTTAGTTAAAAATAATGTCGACTGGGTAACACAGTCAGTTGACCGTCCGACTCTTGGTTTTGGCCCGGGTCGTGATCTCATGGTCGTGGGATCAAGCCCCGCATCGGGCTCTGTGCTCGGCAGAGCCTGAGGGATTCTCTCTCTCCCCGTCTGCCCTTCCCCCTCCACTTAAGCACGTGCTTGTGCTCTCTCTCAAATACATAAATCTTCAAAAAAAATAACAATGTCTTCCCTAAGTGTACTAGCATGGTACAGAATGAGGCAATAACACAAAGAGTAGGAGAAAACACATGCTTGTAATAAAGAAAAAGTTTATTTTTAAAGATTTTTGGAAAATATGTAGTCAAGAATTTCAATCCCACACAGGAAACACAAGCCATGCCAAGAAGGCCCAAGTGCCATAACTATGTTTATTGATATCCTTTGTATTTATCCAATGTATATCCACTCACTAAAATTTTTGTTTGAAATTTCTGGCATTAATTCCCTGAAAGGTCCAGACTCGCAAAACCATTGTTACATACACAGTTGATTTTTACATTACATACTTGATATTTATACATTTGATATTTCCTTTGCACATGTCTATGGCTTTACTACTTTCAAGACAAAAATCGCATACAGAAATACATACTCAAAACATAAAATTTGTCAACAGTTGTCTAGAATGTGGTTTACAATATAGAGGTTACAGGCGACACATAATCCATCTGTCAGGAAACAGAGAGTAGTAGTGCATCATACTGGACTCTGGTGAGGGGCACTTCAGCCCAGGAAAACCCATTTACAATTCTTCTCGACGTGTATAAGATAAACACCAAACTATTTCACATATATTATATCTATATATACTTTTAACCAAATTCTGGTTTAAACATCACAAACCGACAACATGTAAATACAAACACAAATGTTAGGAAAGGTTTGACATATATAGGGAAAAACATGTCTTATGCATTATGAGGAGTTTTTATAGGCTAGCATAAAGGCAAATGTGGTTTTAAAAAAAATAAAATCCACATACAATTAAAAAACTTAGTCAAGCCACCTAGTGTAACAGACTTCACAAATATCATGTGTTTAACATTATGCTCCAAATGTCCACGTATTGCAGAGATTGCTACATATCAATTAGAATGATGTCAGCAAAGATGTGCACACTACGAAGTGATCGCAAGTAAACATAAACCATGCGCTTCTGAGACAAGGATGCTTGACCTTCAGTTAAAAGCAGGCTAAAAATGACTATGAAGTAACTGTCTTTACAAAGGATTACATTTTCAAATCTAGGGCAACAGACATGTTTTCCCAGGTATGCATGCACACAGTATCCTGTGAAAAAAAAAATGATTCAGTTACTTAAAAAAGAAGAAAAGGTTAAAAAAGAAAGAAAGAAAGAAATTAAATAAACTACCAGAACTCGGTTCAGCTGGGGAAACCACAAAGACAAGCTCAGCAACACCCAAGAGGCTGAGGGATAACATTAGTCATAAACTCTGGATGACTGATCCAACATCAGCACTCTGAGTTCGAGTTTCTTGCTGACATTTTATACCATACTTTTCTTTTGGAACAAAAAGTAAGTTTGAAAAGAACCAATTGTAATTTGAAAACATTCTGCCATCTGACAGGATGGCCTTTTCTTCTAGACCCAGAACTAGGTAAAGACAGAAAGCGCTCAACCCAAAGGGCCTGGAGAAGGTAGATTTCACAAGTCACTGGTGGTTACACCATTATTCTAATGCAATGGAGCTACTAAAATACATGTATTTGTTATTAAGAAAAATTAGAAAACTAACATGTCTTTTTCTCCAGAATTATAAAAGATAAAACCTATTAATCAGTACTCTAATGCGATTACAGAAAAATAGCCAACTGAAGTTTAAAAAAAAAGCACAGGCTGTCTGTAACATTGTCCCCACTGTATTTCCTGCAGTTTTAATACTTTGCACCTGTTCTGAGGACTGAGCACATCCACGCCTTAGACACCCATTAGCATATTCAAGGTTGGGTCATGAGTCATCCCTACCCTTAGGGTAAAAGTAATGTAGCTTAGTACACACAACACTTGTTTCATTCTTGAGTATTTTGTAAGGGATTACCCGACATTGGCTCTTCCAAAGATAAGAAAAAAGGTGTCAGGAAAATATTCCTTGGATTATTTTGGAATTCCACAGAGACATCTGGCAGTTTGATACTTTTAACCCTCCTTCCCCATCACAATTTCCCTCTTTTGAAATCACAATCAACAACTCACATAAGATTTAATCACATTTATTTAAAATAAGGGAGAGCTTTTCAATAATGTTCCCCCCTCCAGAGAACTAAAAGGGTTAGTGGAGCTCAGTGCCAGTAATTAAGAGGTTGATACCATAAAGTTCTAACTCAGACACAAGTGTGTCACACCCAGGAAAGATGTTACACACTTGCAAACTTGTGCTTGCTTTCACATTTTATAAGCAACACAGGTTAATTTCAATGTCACTGCTTCGTGGGTAATGCACACAGGTGTGTCTTGGTTAATTTCAATGTCACTGCTTCGTGGGTAATGCACACAGGTGTGTCTTGGTTAATTTCAATGTCACTGCTTCGTGGGTAATGCACACAGGTGTGTCTTGGGTGGTCTCTGCGTGCAGGTGTCAAGAGCTTCACCAGAGCAAAAAGCAAACACCCTTGTCTCCAGGACAGTCTCTCCCTTTTGAGAAAACATTCTCCTATGCACTTTGTCAGATTATGTTTACTGAAATGATACCAATGAATGGAATTCTAGAGGAAAACCAAGAACAAACTGAAGACAAAAAGGTGGAGAGGACCGCACTCTCCTTCCCCATAGCATGTGCCCGGGCAACCCCGTGAGGGCGTGGGGTGCAGCCTTGGGCTCCGCCTCCGTTCAGCCCCCACAGACTTACTTCTCTCTGTAATAGAGCAGGTAGTATTTCAGGGGATCTGGCAGAGGGAGGCTCAGGACCTTCTCACGAAGGAAGTTCACTGGTCGGGCTGGCTTCGCGTCCGGCGGCGGGGCTCTGTCCTCCTCCCGCTGCTCCTCTTCCAAGTCCTCACAGCTGTTGTCATCGGATGGGCTGGAGATCCGACTGGCAAATACCTCTTTGTCCAAAAAGACGATCGTTTCCATGCGACGGCGGCGCACTCTCCTTCGCTTGGCCCTGGGAGTGTTCTTCAGTCCATTTCCGCCGCTGCTCACTGTTTCCTGACGGATGACCTTTTTAATGGTGCCCCGGATGGCGATTCGAGCCAGATCCTGGAGGCTCCGCACAGCCAGGGGCGCTGCGGAGCAAAGGAGATGCGTCAACCTCATCAGCAAGGGACCCAGACAGCACAGGGCCCTAACTCTAGAAACCCATCCCCTCACGGTCATTCGCGGTCGCGGTCATTCGCGAGCGTTATTTACAGCACAAGCACAGAGGAGCACTCCCAGCAAACAGCTGGGATGACAGCTCTGACACGCATGTCTGTGGTCCTTCTCAGTGGTATTTTCAAACACACGAACCCGAACTCATATAAGGAAAGGAAGCAAGGTTGTTTGTCTCATCAGTCAGAAGCAGAAGAAAACCCTGGGTTCATGACTCTGTTTACTGTATTCATTCCTGGGTTCTAGCTCATGCAGTGAATGTAATGCTCCAGAATTCTTTTATCTATCTTTACATTTTCACAGTACTTTACAAATTGAGTATTTGTTCCTTTTTTATTAGAGAAAAGCAAATCCAAAACATTTTTAGTAAGTACACAAACTCCAAAGCATACCAAGGAAAAATAAAATCTGGAGATTCAAGTCCAGCTCAGTGTAAGGCAGGCGGTACACACATGGCAACAGGAGAGTTCTTCTTAAAGGGGGAGGAATTAGGGGGGTTGTGTGTCTAAATACATTATACTGAAAACCACCATCACTTTTCTCCCTCCAGGACCTAACTTTTTTTTTTCCCCTAAGATTTTATTTATTTGACAGAGAGAGCACAAGCAGGGGGAGCAGGAGAGGAAGATGTGGGGCTCCAGTACCTAACTTCTTCCAAAAAAGATGACAACCTACAATATAGGGAGGGTTCTTATGTTGTCTGTAACATTTACTACCCAAATCAAAGTGGCCTGCACAGAATCCCGTGCAATGCTCCCTGTTCCACGGGAGCCCAGGGAAGCCCGCCGGGCCCCAGGCTCTCGGCACCTTCTCCCGTGTCCACACTAGGCCTCCTCTCCTGCTCAACTGTCTCCTCCCTGTTGTCCAGGACAAGCTCCAGCACATGCCCCACGTGTCTCACTACACAACACCGTAATCACGACTTCCTGCTCAATACACCCACCTTTCCTTGCCCTGCCCCTCAGTCTGCTGAACGGACTCCTTCTCCGGCTCTCCCTGAGGTCCCACTTGAAGGGAACCAACTCGGCCCAAGTCTCTGCTGCCAGTCCCTCCCCCACCGCGGCTGTAGTGCTCCCTCGGGTGCTGATTTCTACCATCTCCCCCACTCCACGTCCCCATCAACCCTTGGTTTGACATCGAGTAACAAAGACTGGGCGGTGGCTCGCAGGGCTCTGCTCCATTCCTGACTGGGGTCCCGAGCCTCCCCAGACCCACATCTACAACAGGTGCCGGACACCTCAGGGCACACATCCTTTCTCAGAAACACCGTATGTGCCTGCCCCCGAATCCCTTCAGCTGCAGAGGCCGTCTCCATGGACACAACTTTGCTAGTTAGAAAACTCTGGCCCAGGAAGACAAAGTTACAAATAACTAGCTGTTCACTGCTGGAACCCAAACATCACGTTATTTATTATCCAGCATTGGCTCTGAAGTCCAGCCTCAAAACCCGCATCTCAGGGTGCCCTCCACGCTGTCACAACTCTTACCCAGACCCAGTCAGGCCCTCACACCAAGAGACTCGTGTCCAACCAAACCCCCATCGAAGCTGCATAGATGCACTGACCACAGCCTCACCTTCCGACGCTCGGGCAGTGTTCTGGAAGGCCGCGCCCTGGCTGACTGCGAGCAATGCTAGCTTCTCCTGGGCAGATTTCCAGGGAGCATGCCGGTGACCCTGGCCAGCAGGGTCGTCGAGAAGACAGAAGCACCACATCTTTTCGATCACACGTCTGGTGGCTCCCACAGCCTCCATGACAAGTCCGACCTACGTAGTGGACTAGTTTCTCCTATACACCCGCACTCGGACCACGCTGAGGAGCATGCATGTACAAAGTCCCCATCAGCCTCTGCTCATGCCTCTTCTCCCTTTCTTCTCTCTTCAAAGAATGTACTTTCACCCAAAACATCCCATCCTCTGTCAAACCCTCCCTGGCCCTTCTCAGCCCCTTTCTGTATTGTACTGTTGCTCTTACCAAATTTCAAGGACCACATCTACCGCATGCAACCTCCACTTAGCAGAGACCAAGGCAGAGCATGACTATCTGATAAATGATTCCTCACAAATTAAAAAAAAAAAATTCTGGAAGGAATTTGCCAACATGTATTATCTTTGGGTGGTGAGATTATGGTTATTTTTTTCCCTTTTTTTTTTTTTTGGTGCATTTTCCAAATTTTCTAAATGATCAGAATGCAGAATCCATGCTCTTATTGGTCTTATTTTAAATAAAATCATTTGCTATTCTCATTGCCATATAAATTTGTTTAAATTATACAACAGTATCTGGATGAATGCTGGCCCTGATGTCAGCTCTTTGTGGTTCTACACGCCTAGCCAAGTAAGGCTCCACGGTAAGCCTCCCACCATACACCAGCAGACCGGCTGAAGCATGTGCCCACGAGGCGGCCCCAAGGAGGAAAGAGTCCCGTGACTCTGCAAGAGCCCTCTGGCCCAGTGGTGCTGGCAACACAGTCTCTCTGTGAGACCTCTCCACCAAGCAGAATTAACTCCCTCTCATGGGAGTCTTCTGCTTTCAATGGCATGACCAGCAATAATTCCTGTAGATTTAAAAGAAGGCAGAAGTAACCTAAAATAGGCTGAAAACAGATGATTTTTCAATTTCTAAAAATCATTTGTAACATTTTAAGGTTTCAATGGGTAGAAAAACGCTCTTTAATATTAAAAGATTCCTTACAATTTGTCTTTCTCTTCAAATTCTACTGAGATTATTTAAAAGATCTAAAAGATAAATAAGGGTCTTTGTACTTACGTAACTGGACAAGTCTTGATTTTCCAGACTCTGAATGACAGGGCTGGATCAAAGGAGCAAAAGAAACTGCCAGAATCTTTTTGGTTTCCCAAGCAGAAGGACCAGTTCGTGTTATCTTAGTCAACTGCCCCAAAGAGAAAACAAGAATATTCACAAGATTTGGCTACTGTTAGTTGATATTTAATCACTCCTACATATAAACTAAAAAAAACACAGATATGCTAATAATGAAATAACCTGACAACAGAGGCCCCTAAAGTGATATGACATGAAGTACCCGTAATGAATTATTATACTTGCAAGGATATTTTGCCTGAATATATTCAAAGCCTCTAGACCTCATATGTATTTTTAGAGAAAAGAAGTCAAAGGACACCAAACCAAGAAGAGACAATCGGATGAGACAACTTCCCTGGGCTCTCCGCAAGAGTCAGCGCTGAGGGCAATAGTGGGGCGGGGGGGGGGGCGGGGGGCGGACGTACATTCTAAAGTCAAAGTCATTAAAGACATTCCCGACCACCTGCAATGCCCCAGTCTAGACGGGATCCCAGGCTGTTTTTTCTGGAGGACAGAAACCATAAAAAGACCTTCCTGCAACAACAGGACCACACACCCAACAGCAGCTACTATTGCAGCTTCACGGTCCCGTCGCCTCTGTCAGAGCTTCTCCTCACTACAGCACTGAGTTTCTGTGTGACATCATCGCCACGACACCCAGACTTGCACTGAAGGTCATGAAAACATTCCTATGAATCACAGCATTAGGGGCATCAGAAGAACCTAATTAGGCAACATGGCCCTCCTGTGTATTCCGTGACGGTGCCAGTTTCTGAAAGGCCCAAGCAGGTCACAGTGCTATTTTCTGCTCAGCTATGACATGCGAAGATTATATACTCTCTTGTCTAAAAATACGTAAGCCAGCAAATCCTCTAAAAACTAAGATTCTATATCACGAACCTTAGAACTGAAAGCATTAAGTAGCCACGTACCAGGTAAACATCAACAAGTCATTCATACTCTTGTGTACCAGCAAAAACTTCTTTTTAAAAACATTTTTTCTAAGGAGAGGTTCTAGTTACAATGAACATCAAATATCTAAATACAATCGATAAATAACGTGTGAACTGTTCAAGAAAACTATAAATCCATATTCCATGTTCCAGACAAGGAGATGGATACTGAAAATATGTCTATGATCCTCAAATTAATACACACATAACACAATTCCAATAAAAGGTCTGACATATTTTTCTGATACAACAAAGATTTCTAAAATAATTTAAGTCAAGGGGTGCCTGGATGGCTCAGTTGGTTAAGCGGCCAACTCTTGATTTCAGATAGAGAGCCTTGATCAGGTGCATTCAGTAGCGAGTCTGCTCCAGGATTCTCCCTCTCCCTCTGCCCCACCCCACCACCCCCCTCACCACCCCCCACCCGGCACAAGCCCTCTCTCTCTCTCAAATAAATCAATATTTTAAAAAATAAAACAATTTGGGGCACCTGGGTGGCTCAGTCGTTAAGCGTCTGCCTTCGGCTCAGGTCATGATCCCAGGGTCCTGGGATCGAGCCCCGCATCGGCCTCCCTGCTCAGCCAGGAGCCTGCTTCTCCCTCTCCCACTCCCCCTGCTTGTGTTCCCTCTCTAGCTGTGTCTCTCTGTCAAATAAATAAATACAATCTTTAAAAAAAAAAAAAAAACAATTTAAATAAAGATGTATTTAAAACAATAACCTGAGACAGAAGAGCAAAAATGGGGACATGTAGCCCTGCTATCCACAATGATGACAGCAATAAGCAGGTGGAACTGTCAGCAAGGGCATGGGTGGCTCCTCTCCCAAAAGGCAGTTGGCCAAAGTTAAAATACAGAGTCTCTGATCAAGCACTTCTGCTTTTGAGACTGCACCTGGAAGAGGTCTTGGGTGTAGACAAAGATTAAGAATATCCACAAACATGTCTATGCACACCCTCTTCACAGCAGTACTGCTTGTAAACAGCAGAAGGGTGGAAAGAACCCAAATGCCCATCAAACAACCACATTCTCATACACCAACAGAAAACATTTTTAAGTAAAAAAAATTGGGACAGAAAAGAATTTCCACGTATACCAAATATCAAATACTTAAAATGAACAATAAGCAACGATAACACCTAAAACTATCAATTCCTATTTCATATGTCTGGATGAATACACAGAATGGAAAAAAATGTGCATATCTTCACCGAAGTAAAGTTATGAAAAAAGTGTGTTTGCTTATGTATTTTTTGAGTAAACAGATAAACTAAAAACAAAGTGGTTACCTACAGGTGAAGTGGAGGGGACATACATGGAAAAAAATTCTGTGAGTGTTTATTATTTAGACCTTGGAACCCTGTAAATATTTAACAGAGTTATAAAACCTAATATGGCAATTCCTAGAAACTGAAACAAAAGAGCTGTAAGTCAGCCCGGCAGGATAACCTCACAGGGAAGCATTATTTCCAGTGACTTTCAAACACATGAATGTGTACATCCCCAGGGGAATAAAAGGGCAATCTAAGGACAGTCAGGGAGCAGGCCTTCCGGCGCAGGACACAGATAATGCTGATTTAAGACGGAAGAAGTCAGAAAAACCCTCTGGTCCTAACTTTGAGCCGGAAGTACCAATATAAACCCATGGAGTGTTTTATGTCCAAAAGCCAAACCAACAAAAAACTTAAGTATGTATGGGGGTGGCTTCCTAGCTCCAGAATTCTACTGTAAAAAACTAACCCAGTATTGAAGGTTCCGACAAAGGCCCCACCTGTGGTCCCTAAACACCGATTCCCACTGAACTTAAAATTAACAGAGATCCTCAGAAATGGTTAATTCCAACTTCGTGGTAAAAAATACACAAAATGAGTGTGGAACACCTTTTCTTACCAGAAAGTAATAAAACCATCAAAGACTACTGAGGGTATATGAGAGTCCAAGAGCCAAACTGAAGAGACGCCCGTTGGCCAAGATAGGGCATTTTAGGCTTCAATAAGAATCATACAATGATTAAAATTTTAAGTATGTCTATATCCATGAATTCACACCACCACTAGAAACCAAATAAAAACTTATTAGTCACCACCTTCAACAGATGCTAGAGAACCAGATTATTGAGGAAACTGATAAATAAAGCTTAGGAATCAGAATTTATCCAGCCTCTCCTTATAAAGTGTACTTAGTGTAACCAAATAACTGATGAGGGTGTTTCTCTTTATGTAAGTATTCCAGGTACTATAAAGTTGCAAGATACAAAATCAATGTGCAGAAATTCACTGCATTTCTTTTTTTTTATTTATTATTTATTTCACTGCATTTCTATACACCTATAATGATGCAGCAGAAAGAGAAATTAAGAAAACAATCCCATTTACAACCGCTCCAAAAAGAATGAAATATCTAGAAATAGACTTAAAAAGGAGGTGAAACACCTCTACTCTGAAATTTATAAAACACCGATGAAAGAAACTAAAGACGACACAAAGACATAAAACGGATTAAGGACCTAATGTGACACCTAAAGCCATAAAAATCCTACAAGAGAGCACGCACAGGCAGTAATGTCCCTGACATCAGTCATAGCAACATTTTTCTAGATAGGTCCCTTGAGGCAAAGGAAACAAAAGCAAAAATAAACTGTTGGGACTACATCAAAATAGAAAGCTTCTGCACAGCAAAGTAAACAACCAACAAAACTAAAAGACAACCTACTGAATGGGAGAAGATATTTGCAAATGACATATCCGATAAAAGGTTAGTATCTAAATTACATAAAGAACTTATACAACTCAATGCCCAAAAACCAAATAGTCCAATCTAAAAATGGGCAGAAGACATGAACACATATTTCTCCAAAGAATCCAGATGGCAAACACACACATGAAAAGATGCTCAATATCACTCATCATCAGGGAAATGCAAATCAAAAGCACAAAAGCCTGGGCGGCTCAGTTGGTTGAGCATCCAACGCCTGGTTTCGGCTCAGGTCATGATCTCGGAGTCGTGAGATCGAGCCCCGCATCAAGCTCCACATTCAGCACGGAGTCTGCATGAGATTCTCTCTTCCTCTCCTCTGCACATCCTACTCATGCTCTCTCTCTCTAAAATAAATAAATAAATCTTAAAAAAAAAAAAAACCCACAATGAGATACCACCTCACACCTGTCAGAATGACTAAAATCAACAACACAGGAACAAGCATTGGTGAGGACGTGAGAAAAAAGAACCCTCCTGCACCACTGGTGAATGCAAGCTGGTGCAGCCACTCTGGAAAACAGTATGGAGGGTCCTCAAGAAGTTAAAAATAGAGCTACCCTACAATCCAGCATTGCACTACTAAGTATTTATCCAGAAAATATAAAAACATTAATTCAAAGGGACACATGCACCCTGATGTCTACTGCAGCATTATTTACAATAGCCAAGATATGGAAGCAATCCAGTGTCCATGGATAGATGAATGGATAAAGAAGATACAGCATACCTATACACAATGGAATATTATTTGGCCATCAAGAAGAATGAAATCTGCCATTTGCAATGACATGGATGGAGCTAGAGAGTGCTATGCTAAGCAAAATAAGCCAGTCAGAGAAAGATAAATACCATATGATTTCACTCATATGTGGAATTTAAGAAACACAATTGAACAAACGAAAAAAAAAAAGAGACAAAACAAAAAACAGACTCTTAAAGAACAAACTGAGGGTCACCAAAGAGGAAGTGGGTAGGACGATGGGGGAAACAGGTGAAGGGGATTAAGAGTCCACTTATGTTGATGAGCACTGGGTGATGTATGAAAGTGCTGAATCACTTCATCATACACCTGAGGCTAATATAACACTGTATGTTAACTATACTGGAATTAAAATTAAAAAGAAAAAAGTATTTGAGGTACTAAATGAAGAGAAATGATGGAATCAGAACGTATTGTTCTGCATCCCTTAATGAAATAACGGATCAGGACCACAACTGCACTGCTAGCATCGGAAAAAGAGACCACAGGCATGATGTGCCTGTATATGAATGTACACGGTAACAGGTTAAGTATTCTTGCACCCCTCCACCCCCAAATTAAGTCCAACTGGAAACTAAGCAAGTCTTTAGATCCAACTAACAATTTATGATGAAAACAGGGAGCAGAAAGAATATGTAAAACATCACCACAGGGATACGTAATCTCCAAATCCAGGCTATAGGAAACTCTGTAAGACAAATCACCTGATTTCTTCAACAAGTACATTACAAGGAAAAAGTAAAAAAAAAGAAAAAAAGAAGTCACAGATAAAAAACATTTAAGAGATATATCAACCCTGGGTGCCAGCCTGTCTCAATCAGTGAGTGGAGCGTGCAACTCTTGCTCTTGGGGTCATGAGTTTAAGCCCCACGCTGGGTGCAGAGATTACTCAAAAATAAAATCTTTAAAAAAAAAGAGAGAGAGAGAGAGAGAGAGAAAGATCAACCAAATACAAGACATAAATCTTAAATGGAGATCCAAATAAACTATTCAAACAAATTTTGAGACAATCAGGAAAATTTGAACATTAGCTGCCAGTTTGAAAATAACTAAGAAATTACTGGTAATTTTTTAGATTGATAATGGTTTTGTGATATCTTAAAAAAAACAGCCCTTATCTTTTATAGATACACTTTGAAATATTTATGGATAAAAATTTTGTTTTACTTAGCGATATTCACTACCTTCTGTATATAATAGTAAGTAACAGAGTGTTTTACACACAGCCTCGTGTCCATTTCCAGGAGCCAGAGGATACACTACGGTCAACTATTCCACAGGTTACTATATAAGCACTCAATAGGATGATACGAAATGTTAAATGGCTTAAGATCATCTCATCAATTAAATAAAACCGTATGCACAATGACCTTCTTGGAAAAGGGTACAAACTACAAGAATCATACACTAACAGTGCTTACAGTGAGGACTGTGAGCAATTTTTCTTAATTTTCACATGTTCTGGATTTTCAACCATGAATGATTCCTTTTTAAACAAAATAAACGCTAACATATTTAAATTGCAGAAAATCACACAAAAATGCACAATCTCCTAATTTTTATCATTTCCATTTTTCCTAGCTCTTTGTGACGGAGACTTTCTCCCTGATGACCAATTCAGGTTTGATTAACCTGCCTGTTTATTACAACTTGTTTTTCTCAACGAAGCACAACAGTTACGACGTACAGAAACACGCACGACCCAACAGCCGACTGAGACAAGATTCCTCCTAAGGAAGGGACTCCCGTATAATGCTCACAGTCACAGAATTTAACAATTAAAATAGAACTGCTCTAATGATTTTGCACGACCCAACAGCCGACTGAGACAAGATTCCTCCTAAGGAAGGGACTCCCGTATAATGCTCACGGTCACAGAATTTAACAATTAAAATAAAACTACTCTAATGATTTTTACATATAATTCTAACAATAGAATAAGCATACCAGAATAGCTGTGGAGGAGGGGAGGGAGGTGGGAGAGAGCAGGAGACAGAACGGAGAGGAGGGTAAGGGCTTACAGTGCAGGCCCTAGGGTGCCTACCTGAGTCAGGCCCTGGCCCAAGCTAGGCTGCCTTTATGACCTGTCCCTGCCTGTGTCCTCATTTGTGAAACGGAAGGAGTTGTCATGAGGAATACAAGGAAAAAATATATGGAAACTTCTTGGAACAGACCTTGGCCAATAGTTAAGCGTGTCAGTTAGGAGAGGGGTCTGACCTTCTCTTCCAGTGGCATGACAAGGATGCCCCCTACTTTGAGAAGACTCTTCATGTACTCTTCATGCTCTTTCTGCACACCAGCCCCACAGTACACACGATCGTACTGAGAACAATCTGGAGAAATCTCCAGGCAATTGCCAGTAACAAAGGAAGGTTCACAGAAGTCAAATCTAAAAGCAAAAAATGTTTTCTGTAACTGAGTATATCACATTACAGCAAGTCTATCTATAGTAAGTCTATACTAACCACAGGTTATGTTTTCCTTGAACAACCCTACAATGACATAATACAATTGACAGAGCCAAAAGATGGAAGTCAGACCTCCAAAAAGAATTATATTATTAATAAACAGAACCCTAGAAATTCCAAACAAAATATTCTGAAAGTGAATGTCATAAACATAATACAGACTTAAATCATCTAACCTCCAATCATCACTGTCTTTGCTCTGTTTTTATAAATCATTACCTTATTTAAGATCTACTAAAACCAAGTGCAATGAGGGGCGCCTGGGTGGTTCAGTCAGTTAAATGTCTGACTCTTGGTTTCAGCTCAGGTCATGATCTCAGCGTCATGAGACTGAGCCCAGTTCTCATCAGGCTCCACACTCAGCATGGAGTCCGCCTGAGATTCCCTCTCTCCCTTTCCCTCTGACCCTCCCCCACACTTGTGTGCATATGCACGTGCTCTCTCTCTCTCTCTCTCAAATAAATAAATCTTTAAAAAAATAAAATATAAAAACAAGTAAAATGAAAGAAAACTACATCTGGTGTTTCTAAAAATGCTAAACCCTAAAGTAAGAACTTTAATGTCTTATTTAAAAATGGAAAGAGAGGGGCGCCGGGGTGGCTCAGATGGTTAAATGTCTGCCTTCCGCTCAGGTCATGATCCCAGGGTCCTGGGATTGAGCCCCGCATCAGGCTCCCTGCTTGGCGGGGAGCCTGCTTCTCCCTCTTCCATTCCCCCTGCCTGTGTTCCTGCTCTCACTATCCCTCTGTCAAATAAATAAATAAAATCTTTTTTTAAAAAAAATGGCAAGAGGTAGTTATATATACTATTTAAAGACAAATGCAACAATTCTGTCTTAGAAACCATTAGGTAATAAATTGTTGTCTGTGTTGGAAACATGAAAACTGGACAAAATGAACATTCTACTTCCTTCTCTTATTATATTGGTGAAAAATTACCTTTCCTTGGTATCATAGTTAAAAAACCTAAAGCCCTCAAAAGCACAAAATATTTAAAAAGTAATTAGAACAACTATGCACATACCCCTGATTCTCCTCCCAAAGTTGAATCCTGTTTGCTGGTGTATGAACACGAATAAACTTATGTCTCCCATCTAATCAAAAGTCTAAATTATAATCCACACAGCAACCCAAGGGCAGTATTTGATCTTACTTGTCAAAGCTGTCACTGGTTCTAATGAAGAAGTCCAGCTTCTGCTTTGCATATTCTATTACATCCGAGTGGAGTTCAACCCCGTGGTTCACACCAAAAGGACCTAAAATGTTCCAGAATAAGAAAACTTTTAGAACTAGGGCGAGAACTCTTACTCTTTACTTCTGTTTTGTCAACTACAATGTACCAGGTTCAGCATGTACAATTACATGAAGAAATTCACAAGGTTTTGAGGTCTTGTCGTGTTCCTGGACCTAAACCACCCACGCTGAGCTCTGACTGTGCAGGGCAGACTCTGCTCACCACACTGTAAATGCTTGTTTCTTTGACACTACCCACGTCACAGCGAAAGCCTGGGCCGCTCTGCTCTCAAAGGCGTAAAAAAGGCCAAGATCTGCAACCAAGAATTCAAGATCTCACTAACGAATTAAAAAAGGAAAATGCTATTTCCAAATGAAACTGGACTCAGGACTGTGTTCCAAACGGTCGCCCAGACTCTCAGACATGGACACAAATAGCTTTCGATCATCTTTAAAATAAAACTGTAACAGGGGTACCTGAGTGGCTCAGTCGGTTGAATGTCCGACTCTTGGTTTCAGCTCAGGTCATGATCTCAGGGTCGTGGGATCAAGCCCCAAGTAGGGCTCTGTGCTCAGCACGGGGTCTGCTGCAGATTCTCTCTCTCCCTCTACCCCTGCCCCTTCCCCCACTCACGCACGTGCGCTCTCTCCAAACAAAATAAACAAATAAAACTATAACCAAGTCACAATGAAACATTTTTTATATCAAAGGAAATTTATCAATAATTGGAAATAAAGCTGTGAGAAAAGTTACAAGCCCACTTCACAATAAAGGTGTTCCCTCCATATAAAACTGCCTTTAGGTGAGATCTATTGACACAGACAGCTTAGGTGAGTCTCTTTGTTGTGGGAATTCATTTCTATGAAGGTCAGAAACAGGCAACACTTATTTGTGATGATGGAGAAAAGGGTGCTCTCCTTTCTGGAGGGGGAGGGGCAGCATGAGAGCTTCTGGGGTGCTGGTTCTACGCCGTACCTTGTTCTGGGTGGTGCCTGCATGAAGGTGAATACTTACATAAAAATTCACTAAGCTACACACCTCACACTTGTTCATTTACTACAGGTTAACTTACACAGCCATTTTTTTAAATATCTCCATGTGAAAATCAACAGGGCATGTAAAACTTTATTTCCTGGACAGACATACTGAAGTCACAATGCAGCACTTAACGCTACAGTCCAACAGAAATACTGGAAAATAAGCAACCATCTGTGCACCCATATCTTGATATTTTGCACTTGGGCTTACCTGGTCCCCCGACAGCACAACACCCACCCCAGGCCATGGCTTCCCTCTCCTCGACCTGGACAGCTCACCTGGGGCTCTCTTCTCTCAACATCTGCTGATGCTAAAACATTCTCATTAAAACACACCCTACCTGAGAAGTCATTTTCACTATTTACAACATCAAATCCAAATTATCCAATTTCAAGACCCTCTGCCAAGTCACTGACTTCCATCCCACTGCCCTCTGGCTAGCAGCACGTGCCAGAAACCAAGAAAACCTTTACTTCCCCACTCATCATAGTTTCATTAGCCCCTCACCCTTTATCAAAACCTATTAAGCAGTTAATTCTCATAACAGATCCAGGACATAGTTCCTATCCCCAAGAAGCTTAACACCAAATACAGTAATAACACATAGCCCCTGACTCACCCCAATAAAAAGATGACTAAGAGGGGAGGGAGGGCACGGGAGGAGTCAGGACTGAGACATCAAGGGCATGGCACTGAAGCCAGACTGCAAGCCCCACCCCCCATCCCCACCCCGCAGGAGGGCACTCCACTCCCTAATCACACAGCACTTCAGGTTAGCTGCACAGGAGTACAGCAGAAAAGGGATAAACTTCAGAGCCAGGCAGAAAGGCAGTTGGGTTTAAAAAAGAGTCAGATGAAAGACTCCAGACCTCACATCTGCAGGCAATGGGAAGCCAAAATGGTCTTCAGCTCTGGAGTGATGTGCATGAAACAACATTAAAGGCTGAGTAAACTGGAGAGGGAGGCCCAGAACACGTGGTATCCGGACAGAGATATCAGCCAGTGCGTGCACCCTCCTCCCTGCAAACGCAAGATGTCTCTCCATGAAAGGAAACTCTCCATTCACCTCCTTCAAATACATCACAGCAGTACAGAGCATCCACTGCAACCCCCAAAAAAGCTTCCCTTCCTTTAGATCTCTCCCCACCCCACCATCTAATTACATTCCCAGCAAACAGGGGACTAAGAGAAGCTGTTTATAATTTGTAGGGAATGTCAAGTGCAACAGGTCACCTCAGGCTTACTGTAAGAACTGAGCATCTCAATTCTTTTCAACAGCATTTCTAACCTAGTTAATCTGACACCCTATCCCCCTCTCTGCCAAAGAGCATCTCATCCTTAGCTCCCCCAATTTCTCTGCTCCACTGAATTACCTTTCACTAATTCCAGAATGATACATCACCTGGGCTCTTCACAAAGCAGTCTTAATCCAAAACAAATTAAGTTCAAGAAGCATTTAGCTTTAAAAAACAAACCTAAAAATCTGAGGATAGCAATCTATAGCCTAAGTCAAATGATCAGTCTCAAAACTTCACCAAATTCCGAAGTCTATGAACTTATAAAGAACCAAAAATTTCACTCCATACCCACAAAAACCAACTGTCACTGCTAAGATTTTCTGTAACAACCGCAAAGAAACAATGGACGCTGCCCCCCTCACAGATGCTACAGCAGCCCCCGCCCTACTTCCTCTTCAGAGAAACCCTTTAAAGGGCAGGTCAGCCCTTTTTACTCCTCTGGCAAAACCGTTCTATCTCAGAGTAAAAACAGACACCTAAACCCGCAATTATCTGATACTGTTGTTTCAATAACAAAAATGCCAATCCCCATGTGTAGTCTCACAACTTATTTGGGAAAAGAGACAAAACCTGTGAAATCCTTCCCATCCCTGGAATTTATTTACAAACAACAACTTACAGGCATTAACTCTTTGAGCATTAAAACAAAACAAAACAAAACTGCTTGGAAGAACTTTAACTTCCAGGGAACTGTAAACTTAGTCTCAGTTTACAGAGTGACAAAGCAGGCCGGGTGATTGTATTAAACAAGAAATCACTGTAAGTCCCGATTTACACAATTCTCTCGGTCCTCTGTTGTCCAGAAGGAGGGTGTGCTGAACAGACAGTGGAGGTACAGGTGGGCGGGGGCAGGGAACAGGAGGGGTTCCTCCAGAAAACTCGGAGCCCTCCCTCCCCAGCCCACCCAATGACTACGCATAAACCACAGCAGACGATGCTCAGAAGGTGATGAGACAACACCGCCAGCGGACCCTCTCCTCCCGCACCACGACACAGACGGTGCTGTGCCCCACTCTGTCCAGACTTACCGAGAATGAGCCCCACCACGACACAGACGGTGCTGTGCCCCACTCTGTCCAGACTTACCGAGAATGAGCCCCACCATGGAGCTGAGGTAGCCAGTGCCACTGCCCAAGTTCAAGAAGGAGAGCCCCGGCTGCAGGTCCAGGGCCTCCATCACTTCCGAGTAGATGCACGGAGCCGAGAGGTGGATGTTGCCATGCTTCCACGCCAGGTCTTTATAGGCATTTTCTTTAAATTCTTCAAGATAATAATCTGCACGATCAATAGCTCGGAAAGCCTGCTCGACCAGCTCAGTCCGGATGTACTGTGCTTCTTTCAAATTGTCTATTAGCTCATCATTGTCTTCACCAGCACTCACAGCACCTCCCATCTTCAAGATCACACTTAGGCAACACTGCAATTAAAAATGTTTTTAAAGAGCTATTTACATTAAAGGTAAGAGCACGAGAGTTAAAGTTCTAATAACATGCCAATTTCAAATTCTGAATTCTGAAAATACCACAGATGGAATATATTTGGTCAGCACCCACCTACCCCATCCCAACCCCGCTAAATTCAGAAGGAAAAAAAAAACAGTTAAATATGAAATTCCATTATATCCATCACGAAGTTTGTAATTTACAATATCAAATGAATTCAAATGAACTTGAGGTACCTAATGCGTATTTGACAACTGAAAACATCATTAAAGTAGGAGCTCAATATTTTACTTTAGGTCGTCAATCTACAAAATCGGATATTTAGGATTAAAATTATCTTGAATATAGATCTGCCTTAACACGGATATATTCACATATGGCAAAGTCAATGGATATAAGCATAAAAGAACACAGATATGTCTAGAAAATCACACTAATATCAACTCTTTGAATATTTCAAGTGCTACAGATCACTTTTGATAAATAAATCTTTAAAAGCAAAAAAATCAAAGATAAAACAACAAATACTATAAAGTTATTGTTTACTTGAAATTCAAAACTAACTGGTGTCCTAAATTTTACCCAACAACTCTACACCCCCACATACACATCGGGTCAAGGAATCCATTCAGTCTGTTCATTTGGATATTCGGATGTACAAACTTCAGGCCAAAATACCCCTAACAAAACTCTTACCCAACAGGACATTTTATTGTAACAAATACAAAATCTGTTTCCAGGCTACAGCTGCTCCAAGAGCTCCTACAGCCCCTCTGGAAGCGTATGTTATGCAACCTTTCTACCTCTTCAGCAGTAAAAGGTACATTGCTTACCTTCTTCCCAACTGCCTTCAAGAAGAAAAAGCAACAGTGGGAACCCTTCTGAGCCACCTGCTAACAAACAATGTGCCTCCATCTAATTCACATGGACCTCATCTCCATGAACCATAAAAATATCTTCTCCAATTTTATACGTACCCCAAGTAACTCTTTCCAAAAGAATGATTTTACTTCATGTTTTACAAAACATCTGATGTAAATTGCTGGCAAAAAACAGAAAACACCAGACTTCACAAAGACTGATACATTTTCTGCTTCAGGACAACTTCCATAATAACATACTATCATTTATTATTACAAAGTTTATCCTTGCTTTCCCCCTCACAATCCTCTGGATCTCTAACAGCGGAACGAGAAGCATAAATACTGAGGGAAGAGATTTCCGTACACATATCCCAAGCACACTACTGGCAATTGTGGTGGGAGAGGTTATCCCAGGAATAAAAATAAATGAACACATGATAAATCTTCAGCTTCTCACAACAAATACACAAAATATGTAAAACATAGGGCTTAGTATAAATGCTCTAACATTTCACGATTGGAACAGTTCATCTTCATCATCAAGATTTTAGAGCTGAATATTATACTTTCCAAATCACCAGGATGGTCCAATTACTAGCTTTTCATGCCATTTCAAGATGTTCTGGAGCCCTTGCAAGGTTATGGTCCACAGTCAGTGAACTTAGCCGACTGGATAAAGTGCTAGTGAGGTCAAGTTTAATCTTCGATAAGCCACTTAGTTCTGAGGCTACAGTCTACATCCCAAGCCTAGGACAGTCATCTTAAAATTTAGGTCACTGCTTCAAAGTGGAGTTGCGTTTGCTGCCTAAAGGTCTATTTAGGAAAAGGCCTGGAAAGCACGCATCTTTCACGGTGGATCTAATTCTGTTCCTAATGTTCTACCATTCTAGCTCAATACCATCATTCCATCTTCAGAAAGCAAACACTAACTAGATATTGGACACATTTTATTTTCTACTATGTAACCTATCACTTATTTTCAACTTCACCTCACTCTGAAAGTTTATTCATATACAACAGCTAGCATTTTAGTAAAAAGAGCTACAATCTTTACAGGCGCCACCCGCCAGTCACAGGAGTTCATGTTAGCTTCACAACATACTGAGGCAAATTGGGACCCAGCAGCTATTTTGCTCATGATCACACACCAGTGCATGAAGAGAAGGCTAGAATTCAAACCCAGGACTGTCTGGCCAAAGGCCTACGTTCTCAAATTCTCAAAGGGAAAACATTCTTTAACACAACATGTTGGTAATCTTTGCCCCAAATGACAGGCTACATAACTATGCAGTAACCACACCCCCCCCCCCCCCCCCCCCGTTGCCGCTGGTAGGATGGATGTGACCATCTACAGGGTCTGAGAATATTAACTTTGCCTGGTCATCTACCACTCCCTCACAGTGGATACAATCACTGCTTACTCCTGACCACCCCTGTGACTGCTCATAAGACCACCCAAAAACACCAACAACAGATTCAAAGATATCCTTGCCAAACCAAATATGGATCTATAATCTAGGCAAATCCAATTGTTCAAAGTAATGAGAAATAATTTCTGGATGCTGTACTTGATTATACTTTGCAATCCCCAATATAAGTCACTACTCTGGGGTAACTGGCCAACAGGACCTCCTTAGTCTCATACGGCTCCAAAACCAACTGCCAGAGCACACTGAGGAAGACAGCTAAGCAGCAATAGGCATGGGAGGGCCTCATGACGGGCAGCCAAGGAGGCTATAGCTGGGTCAACACAGCCTGAAGCCAGGATAATGGGGGTGTGCAGTTCCGATCTACACTGGGTTTGTCAGACTACACATGGAGGGCCGTGTTCCAACCTGAATATCACTTCTTAATGGAAATATGGACAAGGTAATTTTATGTGGAAAATGAGCTGGGGGAAAGGACCCTGTGGTTTAAGCCCTGAAAGGTTTGTCTTTTTTGTAATGCAACGGCCTGACTTAAGTTTTGACTGGTGAGGAAGATACGCTTTGCCTCCTGCCACTCAACTCCATGAAGAACCAGGCCTTTGTTTGAGATCAGATCTTAGTTGATTTCCATAACAGACCTTTAGGGCCACTTGTCTTTTCTCTTCCCATGCTCTACATTCCCTCTTTTGTTTTATATTCCCCAATAAAGAGCAAGCCTGAGAAGCCCCAGGCTCCCCACACTCAACCCCAATACAAGCAGAAACCCAGGCCTGTGCTCGCTAGAGCTCTCTCTCTCTTCCCCGTTTCACTGTGTGGCCCCAGGTATGCTATAAAATTTCCAGGTTCCGTAAGTAATAAACCTTTATTTTTTTCAGTTTCCTGATGGTTGTTGCTGAAAGGTGTCTTGCAATCATAATAACCGCAGGCGCCAGTCCAACCACATTGGTTAGAAGAAAACAGAACCAAAACCACACCTCCTGCTGGCAGAATAATGAAAGAAACACTTATCTTAAAACCTAGAACACTTGCTAGGAATACATATAGAGGGATTTTTTTTCAAATACTTGAAAGGCTGCCATGTATATACTATTCCTGGAACTGATAAAAACTGGATCCATGGAACACATTAGATGAAAATAATTTCTACTAAACACAGAAAAGCTTTCTAACAACTAGAATTCCAAATACTGAACTGTTCTTAGAACCTCGAACCTGTCACCCCCAGGGATGTCCCAGGTTAGGTACAAGCTGAGGTGGGGCCAGGAGGCCTAGGCACTGACCCCAACACCTCAGAGGCCCCCTCTCATTCCACCTCTAAAGCTCTATTTCACCCAAGCACAGCCACAAGTTCTGAGTTGTTTGCAGGAACCTGCCTTCACTAATTCTTGATTGACAGTCTACTCAACACCCAAAACGGAGTTGTTTACTTCAGCCAGTCCTCTGCCAGAAAGAAAGAAGAAAACTATTACAGGCTTGTGATGAACAAAGGGGACAGGCAAAGATTTAGGTAACTCGTTTGAGGGGAAACGCTGGAGCACACATCAACGTGGGAGGCACATCCCATGGAAAAAAACGGAACACAGGCACCAAGCCCAGCCGAGTTCTCCTTCCCCAACCACAGACCTTTTTCAGACACCTGAAGTTAAGCCCCAGGGTTCTGTGCCAATTCTCAGTATCCCCAAGGCTTGGAAGGGCACCTATCTTTATGGTTCTGTTTCTTTGTTTTTGGTTTTTTTAGAGACTTAATTTTAAGTAATCTCTACATCCAACATGGGGCTTGAACCCACAACCCCAAGATCAAGAGTCGCACTTTCTACGGACTGAGTCAGCCGCGCGCCCCTAGACTGTCAACTTCTGAAAAGGTCCAAGGGAGAACTGTCTTAGACGCTGATGAGCCTTGACTTGGCTCAGAGCTAACTGCGAACGTTGCCCACTGAGTAAGCTGGAGTCAAGTACATCCAAGGGTGCAAGCGACGCGCCCTGAGAGAGAGACCTCCAGGAGGCTCTGGAACGCTGGAGGGCAAGCCACGGGGCGCGCCCGGGGCGAGCCCCCGGCGGAGCGCAGCAGGTGAAGGGTCACGTTCTTGCAGGGGAGGCGCCTCTCTCTCCGTGGGGGCTGGGGGCCGGGGGGAGACACGCAGCAGGGGAACCCGGGGACGGCAGGGGGAGGCGCGGGGGGCGGGCTGAGGAACGCCGGTGGGGAGAAGGGAGCAAGGGCGCACGCCAGGCGGGGCGGGGCGGGGGGGGGAGGGGAGTCGCCGGGGGGGGGGGGGAGCCGGGGGGCGGTTAGGCGGGGAGAGGACAGGAGGGGGACGCCCCGGAGGAGGGGGCCAGGCGCTCGGGACCGGGCAGGGGAGGTGGGCGGGGGGAGGGGTCCGCGGGGAGACGCCGCCGCCGCCGCCCGCCACAGGCCGGGCCGAGGGCGGCGGCGAGGGCGGCTCTACCTCCGGGCTCGGCCGGCCCGCGAGATCGGGCCGCCTAGGCCGCGACCTGGAGCTCCTCGGGCAGCCCTCGCCCGTCCGCGGCCCGGCTGCGCCTCGCCGACCTCTGCCGCCGTAAACACCCGCCGCCACCGCGCCTGTGCGCGCAACGGCCCGACTGCGCGCGAGCCCGGCCCCGGCGCTTAAAGGGGCGACGGCGCTGCCGGTGGGCCCGGGGCGGCCCCTGCCCGCGACTCCCCCGCCGCGACTGACCGCGAGGCGCGTGAGAGGACGCACGGAGAGCGGGGCCGGCCCGCACCCTTCGGGGGTATTGGAGGGGCGGCGGTCGCCTAACCGCTGCAGGTGAGGATTGGGGCTTCCACGCACCACCCAGAGCCAGGACCCGCGAGGAAGGCTTATGAAAACCCTGTGTGATGGGCAGTAACTCACGGCAGTGGCTTCTCTGGCTTGGGTGGCACAGAGGGGACATCCGAGCTAAGGTGCGTGGGACAAGAAGGATGCAGCCGTGCGAGAGAGGGGCCAGTGGCTGCAGGCCAGGGAGAGCGGAAGTGGGCAGGACCCACCCGCCCTGTGCACATCTGGAAGCAAGCCGTAGCAAGCAGCCGCCGGCCCCCGCTCGGCTTCAGTAGGCTGCCACCTCCTACACCTGCGTCTGGGCAGACCCTTCACCTCTCTTCTGGGCCTCAGCAGAGAAACACGGAGTCGGAGTAGACCCCATCTAAGCTCTGTCCCACCAAGTGAACCGTGAACCCATACATGCCCATATCGTGGAGCTGCTTTGCCTAGTAGTCTCCACAACAGACAACTGGAGACATCTCAGATGACACAAAGACCCAGCATCGTGGATTCTCAAGGTTTTCGTTCCTAGAGGATGATGGAGTTGGGGCAAGGGGGCAGGCTGGTACAATTTCTTTGGGTCCTACAAGGCGAAGAGAACTGTTTTTGCATAATATGAATAGGAATAATATAAAAAGGAACGTTATGCAGACATGAACTTCCTAACTCCACGGAGGAAGGAGGAGAACCCTGCCTCTAGGAGGAGAACACTGCTGGGTGGGTGATGTGCTGGGTGGCAAGAGGATGTGGTTGCAGATCCTACAGACCTGGAGGAGCCAAGGAGTGTGTGCACCCACATGTGTGTCCCGCCCAGAGAGTGCAGAGTAAGGGTGTGTCTGCCCTGTCTCAAGGTGAGGGTTGTCCTAGTGAAGCAGATCAACCTAAGCCTCGGTGCCTTGTGGGACACCACATAGGAGGCCAAGCCCCTGCGGGCTGAAGTTGGACCCGATCTCAAAACAGAGACGTTGTGCTCGACGGCATCATGCTTTAGATGTTGACCAGGCACATGGCCCCTGCTCAGGCTGCCCTCCATGTGAGAACAGTCTGAGATACCTTTGCTGGACATCAGTCAAGATCATTCTGCATCTCAAAAGTGACCTTGTGGTTCTGTGTCCAGGTCCTCGATGCTGCCTCCCCTCACCAACCCCAGTCACCCTGGGACCTGTCCTCTTCTGCCGCCTGCATGCCACGTATCCCTTTGTGAACTGCCTGCACGGCCTACCCGGTAAACTTTGTGAAATTCTACCCCACTCTTCCTTTCCCAACCTCACCTGTGGTTTTCCAAATGAGCTTTTAGCAGCAGAACCCTTTCTTTGAACACAGTCTTAGAAGCCACCCCATCTACAAACAGCCACAAGCACTGCTGTTGTGGAGGAAAGGGCTTACCACCAATCTCCTGACCTTGACAGGACTCTCAGAGGTCTTCCTACCTGCGCTCCTTTGCTTATCGTGACAGTTACAAATTACAGAGGCCCTAGAGCCGTCCTTGGCCCTCTCCCCACTGTCTACACCCTCCATATACTCCACCCTGTCTTATCCCTGTATCCCTCACCTCTTACCAGGATAATGTCCTCACTGACCTACATACCCTCTCACCAGCCATCCCTCCCTGGGCTCTGCCACGTGGTCTTCCTAAAGCACGGTCTGGTCACATCAGGCCTGGAGGCCTTCCCTTGAGACCCATCTGCTTGCCTCTCCAAGGTGATTTCCCCCACCCCCCATGTCAGCTCCACCATCCATATACCGTCAGTATTAATCTTTGTAGAATGTCACAGTAAGCACTTTACATGGGTTATTTCCGTGACGTAGATACTAATATGATCTCTGAGAATGAGAAGAGCAGTCTCTGACATTGGGAGCTGGCCTGGCGCTCACAGCAAGGCCATGGGTTCTCCTGTTGGACATGGACCATCTTGCAGAGGCACTCCATTGTGAGAGAGTGAGACAAAACATCATAGCCGTGCCCAAGCAAGCGCCCTGAGTCACCCACAGAAACTCAGACAAGCTCTCTCCCAGCCAATAGCAACGACCCCTGCTCTTTCATCGGCTACAGATGAGCCTCCCTCTGCCCCGCCCTTCTAACAGATAATCACTTATTGAGATGTCCCTGCTTCCTGACAGCATCCAATCCACGCAGAGTTTCCCTGTCTGTCAAATAGAGGTGTCAGTGCCCTGCCAAAGGCCACCAGACACACACAGAGTTGGATGAGCTTGTATGCCTTGTTCTGTGAGTGGGATGCACACCATGGGCTGGGGGGTGTCTCTAACAGGTGTTGGGAAGAATAACTGAGGGGTATGGGCTTTGGTTGGGGGATGTATGGGCCGCTGGTGGTTGGCATATCTGGAGGAGGAGTCCCCAGGCAAAGGGAAGGTCGTGTAGAGGCCTGAGGTCAGGGTGGACCTGGGTGCTCGTGGCTGGAGCTGCATGCAGTGGGTTGTGTTGTTATCTTCAAAGTGCAGTATGAAGACTTCCTTTAGTTAAGGTAGCCCTTTAAAAAAATGTTTTTTTATTGTGGTAATATATAGATAACATAAAATTTACCATTTTAACCATTTTTAAGACCTAAAATTTACCATCTTAGCCATTTTTAAGGATACAGTTCAATGGCATTAAGTACATTTCTTGTTGTTGTGCAACCATCACCACTATTCATCTCCAGAATTTTTTTCGTCATCTCTAACTGAAATGTGCCAAGAAACTCTGAAACTCTGACCAAGATGGACTGAACTTGCTCTCATGCCTGAGACAACCAAGAAATGGACTAATATGTGAAGCAACAGTTCTCAGAACCTGGACATTGTGCAACAAAGCTCAGTGACTCCTGAGAGACGAGAAACCAGTGGGCTGAGCCCTTACAGTTGCCTCATCTCACCACCGCGAGTGTCTTCAGGCTGCAGGGCAGGGAGGGGAATCCCACACAGAGCAAGGTGGCTGGAAGTCCCAGGGCAGAGTGCAGGTGGGGAGAAATTTACAGAGAGGACTTGGGAACCTGCAGCCGCTCCCCCTCAAGTGTTCAGTAGAGAACTAATCAGCACATGTGTGTGTGCAGAAGCAACCCAGAGCCAGGGAAAGAACTGTCCAAAAGGGTCACACTGCCATGGTTGCACAAGGCAGAGAGTGGTGTCGGTTACCAGCAGCCACCCTGGAAAAACTCTTGGTTCATGGAACAGTGGGAAGAGTACGCGGGAGGGTCTTGCCTCGGGAGTGAGTCATAGCTCACCCCAGACTGATCACTGCTCAAACCCCACCTAACGTATCAGAGAAAGATCTGAAAGGATCAAAATGTTTCCTGGCCACTGTGTCCCAGAGCAAAGCTCAAGAATATTTACAAGAATACAAAATACCCAACACTCAACAAGGTAAAATTTACAATGTCTGGCATCCAATCTAAAATTGTCAGGAATATAAAGAAGGACGTAAAACAAGGAGTTAAGTGCAGACACAGAGGTTACATAAAGAGACCCAAATATAACTTCCAGAAGTAAAAATTACAATGTCTGAGTTGAAAAATACCGTAAGTGGTATTAGCAGCAGATTGGATGTTGCTGAAGAAAGGGTTGAAGACACAGCAGTAGGAACTATGCCAAAGATGTGAAGAGAAAAGAGAATAAATTGACAGCATCAGGGGCACCTGTGGGGCAGCCTCACGTGGCCTGACACACCTGTAATGACCGTCCCAGAAAGAAGGGACACAAACGGGATGAAAAGAAATAGTGGAGAAAATGCCGGATCTTTCCCAATTTGATGAAAACCCTAACCCTCAATGAACCCCAAGCACAGGAACATGAAGGAAAGTACCAAGGCACAATATAATCAAATTGCTCAAAACCAATGATAAAGAGGAAAAATTTAAAACACCCAGAGAACAAAGATATTTTACAAACAAAGGAATCGAGAGGAGGATGGCAGATTACAAGAGGCCACGATGACCACCAGGCGTCGCCCCAGGCCGCTGTTGCATCGAGACGCTCCAAACCATCCTCCAAAAAGGGAAGAAATCATTCTTCCTCCTCATAAGCCATTTGTAGGCAGCAAGTGGAATTAGCCAGTTCTCAGACATGCCTCATACTTCTCTGCTATTCCTACTCTGCAGGTGAGTGCAGTTTGATGTTATCTGAAAGTATTGGTGAACTCCAGTGTATTTGTATCATAAAATGATTGAGAAGGGAGTCTAAAAAATAATTTCTTGTCTTGAAACAAACCACTTTAATAAAAAAGTAATGCGTGGGAAGAGGTCTGTGATGGTTAATTTTATGTGTCCACTTGGCTAGGCTATGGTGCCCAGATGTTTGGTCAAACACCAGTCTAGATGTTCCTCAGAGGGTATTTTTTGGATGTGATTAACATTTAAATCGGCAAACATGGAGTAAAGCAAATTACCCTCCATAATGTGGATGGGTCTTATCCAAGCACTTGAGGCCCTAAGAGCAAAGCCTAACATTCCCCAGGGAATGAGGAATTCTGCCCCCAGACGGCCTTTGGACACCAGACTGCAGCATCATCTCTTCCCAGGTCTCCAGCCTGCCCCATGCTCTGCAGATATCGGATTTAGCCACCACGACTGAGTGAGCCAATCCCACAAAATAAATCCCCTCCCCACCCCACTTCCTGTGTGTGTGTGTGTGTGTGTTTTATATATATATAGGACACAAAGAAGTAGTGTCAGACCAGGGCCAGAGGCCTGCCCACAGGGTACCTGGGATGGAAGCACCCTGAGGAGCTGACACCCACATTTCTTTTCTTTAGAGATGGAGAGAGGGGGGAGGGGCAGAGGGAGAGGAAGAGAGAGAATCTTAACCAGGCTCAACGCGGGGCTCAGTCTCACCACCCTGAGACCATGACCTGAGCCGAAACCAAGAGTTGGAGGCTTACCCAACTGAGCCACCCAGGCGCCACCACCACATTTCTTAGGCTGTGAGTCCTAGGGTTCCAGGGTCCCCTCCCCCTTTGCCAGCCCCTCAGACTCTCCTCCCTAGGTCGTAACTTACAAGAGGAAAGGCTTGAGGGGAGAGCAAGAGTGGGCAGCAGCCTTGGAGAAGGGAGGCCAGTCTGGGAAGACCAAACTCCGAACTTGGCGGGCCAGACCAGTTGCTAGCAGAGGTGGGAACAGCAGATGTACTCGCTCCTCTGGCACCTAGACTTAGGGGTACAAACAGGAGGGCCCTGGGTGGTGCCTACAAACCCAGGCCTTACCTGGCAGCTGTGGTCACACGTCGGGTGGCTCGGCAACCCACCAGAGGCAGACCTTGGGGCCGGGAGTGGTGGCTCATATAAATGGGGAGATGCAGGGAAGGGGAGGTGAGTTCAAGGGTGTCCTCAGAGTGTCAGGAGATGGTGCATGACCTGGGGCCTGGGCCAACCCTTTCCACCCCCTCTCCCTCCCTCCTTCAGTAGATGTGTTGTGGACTCCTTTACAGAGAAGGAAGCCGAAGCACAGAGGCTAGAAATGACCTGCCCATGGTCCCCAGCTGTGAGATGGCCCCGGACTCAGACAGAAAGAGCTACTGTGTCCAAAACCAGGAGCCCCCACGAAGGGGACTTGCCCAACACCCCTAACTCTCGTCCATGCAGCCACCCCGTGCAGACACATTTCCTATCCCCACCCCCCCATGGAGCACACATCCTGTACTTGGCTGATTCTCCCATGTGGTCTCCTAGGCTCTGTACGTAGCTGGGGAGGGAGGTAGCTAGAGACTCTCTGAGGGAACATCTGTCTGAGATTTCCCAAACGTGCTGGCCATCTCCCTTAGGCCACACCAGTTTGGACCCTCTACCTTGGCCAGAACAGCCCAGCGGCTCTGTGTGACACTCCATGTAAAGGGTGTGAGTGCTTGAACAATGTTTGAAGGTCACCAGTCCTGACTGAGGGCCTCAACATGCAGGGCAGCAGCATCAGCCCCTCCTCCCATACCACTGGGCGGGGGCATCGGGCATCATGACACTGTTGAAAGCTGCCCCAGGACACCCCCAACATGGTTGCGGGGGTGAGTCGGTGGTGTCTAGGGAAGGGCTTTATGGGCATGGAGTGAGCCTTGAGGCCTGAAGCAGACCACCATCATCACAGGCCCCTCTTACTGATGCCTCTGAGGCAGCTTCCCAGGGACCCTGAGCTGGTGGGGAGTGGGAGCATCCAAATGTTTCAGCTGTTTCAGAATGACCCGGTCCCCACTGTGGTGAATGCACATGTCTCACTTCTTCATATGCCCCTCTTTCTGTGCTGATAAGGAAACTGCAGCCCAGAGAGTCAACTTCTCAGGGCCTAGTCAGTGCAAATGGTGGTCCCTAGCCCATGGCCATTATGAGTGTCATATTCATAGGCTACACTTTGGGACTGAGTCAGGAAATTTCCCCACTGCTCAAGAATGTGGGAGGGCTGTGGATTAGGAAAAAGATCCCCCCTCCCCCACACATGCACACATAATTTCTCAAAGTCAAGGGGTTCCAAACCCCAGAAAGGCCCCCCGGATTCAGCACTGCATGAAGGAAATGTGCTTGGGGGTCTCTCCCAGTGATCCCAGACCTGCTTTCAGGCCCCACCTCAGACCTCAACTTGGCAGAAATCACACAGAGGGCCAGCACCTGGGATGGGGCCAGGCAGCTAGCTGTCATAACCTCTGGGAACAGCATGAGGGTACAAATGTGGTGGTGGCTAGGGAATGATCAGGAATGTTCTGGAGACCGTGGTCCCAGTACAAGGACCACGTCTTAGTCCTTTCTGTTACTGACTAAAAATGTGTGCAGGGGAAGAAACTGCCTTTAGGAGTCTAGAAAACGGATCTTGGACAAGCCTAACTGTCCTGTGGGAAACCCCTGGCCAGCTCTAGTGACAGCCCGGCCCAGCTGATGAAGGCAAGGAGAGGCCCCTGCAGGGACATGGTCCACCCTGCTTAGCCCTGCAGGCAGGAGGAGCCAGAAAAATCGCTGGAGAACCTGCCTCCACCTCAAGGAGACTTCAGAGTCTGTATCTAGTCCCAGCTACCTTAAGGAATGGTCAGAGCTTCCCAGAAGAAAGTGGTGTCTGCCAGGCCAACTGTCCCAAAACTGGGAGACCTGTCTGTCCACACTGCGCCTGGACAGATTCTTCCTGGTGCCTCCTACCTTCTCCTCTGGCTCCTCCGTGCCCACTGCTCCATGGAGCTCAGCTGAGCTGGCACCTCTTCCTCTTCCTGAGGAGAACAGACCCCAGGGGCCAGAGGCCTGGTGTAAATCCTGGCTGCATAGCCAATCCTGTGTGTGACCCTGAGCAGCCTCCTGGGCCTCAGTTTCCTAGGCTGTATGATGGGAATAATCCTAGTGCCTGCACCATGGTGTTCAGAGGTCATTACTTCTCTCCTGTACCTGCTCAGGGCTGAGCCAGGTAGGGTTTTGTGTGGGGTAACTCAGCTGTGACTGACTGAGCCCTTCCAGGTTTGGTGCCTAATGGGGTCTTGGATTATCAAGCTCTGCTTGGGTCTCAAGCAGTAGCCCAAGGGGCATGATGTGGGACTTCAAAGCACTTCTGCTTGGTCTTCACGACACAGCAGGTGGGCCTTGGGTGGATTCCTTACTGTCTTTACATAAACAGCACCAGGTTTCTCCTTTGCTATTTTGACAACTTCTACAGAGAGAACCGCAACAGAATTAAATACAAGGAAAACATTTTTGACAGTGTGTGAAAGACACGGGCAGAAATGTGTCCAATTTGGCAGAAGGTACCCTATGAACAGCGATGGGTGGGTCCATGAGGGGGTGTTCGCTGGCAGGGTGCTGGGGAGGGAGCTGTACTTTCCTCCTCTACATCCACTCCCACGATCCCACGTGGGAAGCAGGGTGGCTCTGTGGGCTTCCCTGCCCCTCCCCATAGACCCCTCATCCTGGAAGTGGTGGACTGGGGATGACCCCACAGGGCTGAGACGGTACCAGCTCCTCAATTCTGTGGGGCTCCCGGTGTGCCCCTAAGGCCTATACTGGCTCAAGAAGCTGCTGCGTGGGGTGGCCAGCCATCAGGAGCCAGAACCAGCCCAAGCAGACACCTCAGTTAGTGGGAGGGGCTCCCTTGGAGCTCAGCAATCACCGTGTCCACACCGTCCCCTATGGTAGACAGGGCATGGCTGGAGCCATAATACATGCATCCCTGCACAGCTAGACACGTAACCCAAATAACCGCCTGTTTTTCCTCAAGTCACACACTGCCCTCATTAGGGCAGCACCCACGGGTGCCCCGTCTGGGCGGCACCCACGGCCCAACGGGTGTTCTGTGGTGACGTTGACATCCGTGTGATGGCCCCTCTTGGTAGCTTGCATGTGGCCATGATCTCTTCAGCTGGGTGACGGCAGGTATCTGGCTGGGCCTGGGGAGGGCCAGGATGGGAGCAGCCAGTGGGCTACTGTGGTCACCTGGGTACATGTCCTGTGGCCTGTGGGACGTCCAAGTGGAGTCCCAGAAAGTGCTAGAACTGGGAAAAGCAGGCTTGGGAGACAGTGAGGTGGTTCTCTGCATGTGGCAGACATGAGCTGTAGGGATGTTGACCCAGGGGAGGAGGGAGGCCAGGATGTGGACTGGGGCAGGCTCTGAGGAGCACACAGGGGGACAGCATCCACAGAGGCAGGTGCAGGGTGGGGCAGAAACCAGGAAGGGGCGACAGGCAGATGAGAAGAGTGGAGGAGAGGAGGAGGGAGCCATAGAAGTTTCCAGAAGAGAAGAGGCCAGGCTTCAGAGGCCTGCCCATTGTAGACACTGAGAGGCAAAAGAGAGAGGCAAAGACAATGGGGAGCAGGGGTGGGGACGTGGGTCTGGGGTACAGTGAAGGTCCCTGGGCAGCTCTCCTAAGGGTCAACTGCCCTCCAAACACACCAGATGCCCCCAGGTGTCCTGGACGCTGTTTGACTCAGACATGGTTTGGAAATGAGGCTCAGAATGTCTAAGAATTTTCCTTTGTCAGGTCAGATGGGAGCTCCAGGTTGGACTTCAGGACCAGATTCCCAGGGAGGTCAAAAGGGGTTGACAGATCAGGTTGAATATCCAAATCTAAGTCAGGTTAGAAACTCCAAACCTAAGTCTCACCCTGGGAGAGCTAGAGCTCCACCCGACACTAAAGTGTAAAAATAGTGAGCTGCCACAGCAAGACCAAAAAGCCAAACACAAGAGCTTAAGCAACAAGGAAAAGAAGAAGGATGGGCGGGAGAAGAGGAGGAGGGGAGGAGGGGGGAGGAGGAGTTCATGCCCCTCATAACTGGGAAGTGCAAGGGTGGGCAATCTTCAAGTATGGCCGGATCCAGGAGCTCTGAAAGGATCAGCGTTCCCTCATCCTCCTCCCACCTCCACTGTAATCTCTCCATTTCTCAGCTCTGCCTCCCTCCAGATGTCCAAACTCTCTCCTACTGCAGATGGCTTCCTCCTTGTGGCCAGAAGAGACAGCCTGTGGCAACCCCCATTCCACCCCGCAACCCCACCACCCCCACCACCCCACCCGGTCTGACAACCCCAATAGGGAGACTTCTCTCTGAGCCCGAGGGAAAGTGGTGCATTGCACATGCCCAGTCACGCGGGAAGGGGCAGGGCACTGTGACTTAGACTTCCTAGAACCACACCTCGGGGGAAAGATGTTGGTTCCACACGTGGTATCAAAAAGAGACCCAGATGGAAGAGTCCCCAAGAAGGTGACAGAGACCGACGTCAGCACACACCACTCCCGTGCACAGTCAGAGTGGACTTTTATTAGGAAATCACCCTGCAAACACACCGAGAAGTGCTGTGCTGTGGGTTCCACGCGTTTCCTGAGGAAGGGGATCACAGTATTGGAGCCGTCAAGGGACAGGGAGCCTGTGAGTGGGGACTGCTCGGTGCTGCCTGTGGCCAGCACTCCTTCTCAGCAGCATGACTCGGCCATCAAGAACCGGCACACAGATGCAACACGAGAAACACGCCAGAGCACACACATCTGCGCTACATGTAAATAAATAATAAATACAGAATTCCATTTGCTGTTGTCCGTACCTGAAACAAAAGGAACCAAAGGGGTAAAGAAAACCAAAAAGTCTTTCTTTCCATTGGACCCAGGGAAAAATATCCCCAAATTATCAAAATTCCTCAGTTACAAAATACTTTTTTAAAAATTCCATTATTAAAAGAATAAATAACAAAATATATAAAAAATAAGTTGGTTGCATCAAAATTATAAGAAGACTTCTATATATAGAAGGTACAGCAAGATTTTTTTTGTGGCCTATCTCATAGTCCAATCATTAATTTTGCTTTGATTTCATTGATTTCCCTCTCATGGTGTCCTGGTGTGGGGTCTAGTTGAAATAGTACAAAATTAATAAATAAAAATGTTAAATAAATAGCAAATGTTAACATAAGAGGTTGTGAATATAAATACTTACATCTTGACAAAATTAAATAATTTACAGAATAATTAAACTAACTACTTTTTTATTTCTTCCAGGAAGTGCAATTTCTCTACGTTTAAATACTAACTTGGAATTGTAGTCACAATCGATTTGGACTCTATTTACATGTTAGGAACATTGTGTTTAACACTTTCCATTACAATTTTTTTCGCATCTTGAATGGATCTAAAAAGAAATGAATCTTGGTGGTCTCCAAATTAGGAATTTATTCCCTGACTTGCTGACGCCGTCCCCACCTCAGTCGAGCTCGGCCGTGACCCGGATAATGCGGCAGTGACAGGTCACGGGCACGGGTGGACACACAGAGAGCCAGAGACCCTGGCCCTGACCCAGACCTGGATCCGAAGGCTGCAGCCCCAAGAGGGAGCATGACCCCACGCTGTACATGTCTGTGCAGGCTGGGGGTGCCAGCCACCCCTAGATGTGTGAGGTGCTTTCATGTGGAACGTCCAGGGGCATCCCAGGTTAGAGTCCTCAAGTTGACCATGGGCTGTAGGTCTCTTTCTAACCCTCTGGAACAGTGCTTTGTTCCATCCTTAAGACAAAACTGAATTAAATGAAAACAGAAAACACACGTGCCACATTGACCTCACTGAGCAGATGCGCACCCTGGGGTGCATGCTCCAGGCTGACGCTGTCACACGACCACCCGCCCCGTGCCCACGGCTACCCTCCCAGCCTCGACAGACAAAGGAATACTGTGGTTGCAAACTCCAAAACTTCCCTGAGAACCTTGTCCATGAGCTTCCACTGGAGACTTTGAGCTGCTCTTCAGATTTCTTTCAAAAAACAAAAATAAATCACTTTGTAATACGCCGTGCCTTCCCCTGCACTTGTGTGGGGAGGTCGAGGCCTCCAGCCTGGCAAGCGCAACGAGAAAGACACGGATTTCCAGGCACCCCTTTGGATAAGCCCACCTGAGGCCGCCCTGGGCTGCCAACTAGTCACTGCAAGCTAGGAATCTCCACTGCGGGGGCAGGGCAAGGGAGGCGAACGATGGAGCCAAGTCGGGGAGCCCCAGGTGTCCCGGTTGGCGGGGTGGCTTCTGGATGGCGAGGTCTAGACCTGGATGCCCCTCACAGCCCGTTTGATGCTCTCCAGGAGGTCCTTGTTCTCGGGGTCCTGGTAGCACTCCTGGTCGGAGTACATGTCGGTGAGGGTGCTCACGTAGGCATCAAAATTCTGCTCACATATTGGCTCCTGGAGAACAGAACTGGGTTAGCAAGCTCCATCCATGCAATGGGCCACATGATTTTCAGAAGCCACAGAAATCTACGGATGAACACAGAACGCCCCCTGAGACAAGCCCACACCTACCAGGGGCACCACTGGCACCCTTGGGCCGAAACAACCATGAGTATTCTGCTGTGGATTCCTAAGCTCTTCAGGAGATCTAGAGCCACCACGGCCAGCAGCCTGCAGGGCAAAGCACCTGGATCGGGGCCCTTGTGGCAGAGGGGTGCCCTGCCCTCCTCACCTTCCCCAGAGTCCTGGGGGTCAGCTACCAACCAGCTCAGCTGCGTGCCCGCAGGGCCACATCCTGCTTACCATGTGCGGAAGGCGGATGTTGGCAAGACTTTGGATGAGGGCCTGGCTCAGGCCCGACAGCTCCAGAAACAGGGCTTCATTCTGTTCCTCGATGAGCTTGTTCTCCTCCTCGATGTTCTTTAGGCTCTTTTCCATGGAGGAGATCTGCACCAGACCGAGATGGGAAATGCCTCCTGCCATGGGAGTCCCATGGACCACATCCCTCAGGTCCTCCTGGGACACACCCAGCATGCTAACTGTGCCACACTTCATGTCTCTCTGGGAGAGGGTGAAGAGGCAGGGACCCTGGTCCCTGGGTGGAGGAGGGGATGCAGTGACTGAGCCAGGGGCTGTGTGGGGCCATAGCCTTCTGTGCCACATCTGTCCTGCAGGGTCACGGAGGAACACAGACTCCAAAGCACCCTGGGCTCAAATCCCAGCCCACCACTAGCTGCGCAGTTAAGTTCACCATGTTCCTTCTTCCTTGTCTGTAATGGGAATACTGCATCCACTTTGGGGGGTGTCTGGCCACCTTTGGGTCTTTCCCCCACCAGAAAGACCAACAAAATGCCTTAATAAAGCTGTGGAAGGCAAGCAGAACAGGCAACTGCTTCTCCCTCTGCAACTCCTAGCTGAGTGGAGCCAGTCGATGACCCCTCCAGCACACCCTTACAGTGACAGTGACAACAGGGCTGATGGTCAGGGGCAGTCCTGAATGCTCTGGGCAGCTCAGGTGATCAGAGAGGTGAGTCTCAGGGTCAGCACAATCCTATGCAGAGGTTCACAGCCAGTGTGAGGAAGGTGGGAAGCCTGCCCTGGGGCCCGGTCTGGAGAAAACTTGCTTGGGAGGGCAGCTCCCAACCTGACTGCATCTCAAGGGAGCCTTGGGCTGCGGCAAGCTCACACAATGTGTGTGACTCATTGAGCCATCCCCTAGGTGCACAAAGGTGAGCTGCCTCTTAGGGGGCAATGCATGGGGTGGAGTGCTTTCTTCCAACCACATGGCTGGGAAACATCATGCTTCATCACCTGGTGAAAAGTCTTTGGCTTAAAACAGTTTGAGTAGGAGTTAGGGGCCTGCCTTCTCTTTGCCTGAGACTTTCTGCAGAGCACAGGACTCAAAACTCCCTCTAGAGGAAAGGGGGCTCTGAGTCAGTCCAAAAAGATGCTAGTGAATAAAAAGATGGAAATCAGCAAAAAAAAAAAAAAAAGAAAGAAAGAAAGAAAGAAAGAAAAGAAAGAAAGAAAGAAAGAAAGAAAGAAAGAAAGAAAGAAAGAAAGAAAGAAAAAGGAAAAGAAAGAAAGGATTAAAAAAGAAAAGAAAAGACATCAGAGGTGCTGTCCCAAGGTTACTTCAGGAAGAGAGAGAGCAGTGAGAGACAGAGGGTGGTGGTTACCCAGTGATGTGTCTCGGCACCCAGAGATGCCCCAATACTCCTCTGCTTCTACTGCCTGTGAGCCTGGGGAAGATGGTGCATGGCAGACAAAGACCCTTCCTGATCTCTACGGGCGGATGCTATTTTTATCTAGGCTTCCAAGTCACAGGAGGTCAGCATAAAAGCCTCTTGGCCAATGGAAGAAGAGACAGCATAACAAGATACATGGGGCTCTATTATGTCACACTGCAGCCTCTGGGAAGGGCTACCTTCCCATCTGTCCTTTCTGCCCTCAGATCCTGCAGGGCCCAGTCACCTCCTTGTCCCTCTGTCCCTCCAGCCATAGGGGACAGAGCTATGTGTGGCCACTCCTTCTGTGCCCCAGCTCTTGCTCTGGCCCCTTACTCAACAGCTAAGGACAGGGCTTCTTTTCAAAATAAGACCCTCATTGCATTTTTTTTTCTGATGACCAGTGTTCATTTGGGGGAAATCAGAGAGATATGACACATATACTTAAAGTAATTTGTAACCCTATCACCCAACAATAGTGACTCTTTTGGGGTCAGACACTTTCCCATAGAAATGCGTTTATCTTACAACAACCTCACAGAGTTGATTCCTATTATCATCCCCATTCTACCAGTAAGGACATCAAGGTACAGACTGATAACAGGTTTGCCAGGTTACTAAGCTGCTATATGGCAGCTCTGGGGTAGAATCAGCCTCCCAGCCAGGTCCTCAGAACCTAGCCTGTGATCCTACTCCTACTGACAGGGCCAGCAGTCAACCCTGACGGGACCACTAACCCTGATGGGACCCCCAGCATGGGCACCCCAGGACCCCTACTGCTAGAAGAACTACCAAAGCTGGCAGGTGTGGCTTGTTCTGAGTGTCCCTGAGAGCTGCACTGTCAGCTCAGCCTAACAGCAACCTTGACGAGCTCAGCTCTCCTGCCTCATGGAAGAGGAGGCTGAGGACAAGGACCCCCTTGGGTTGGGTGGCAACACCACCCACCTGGGACTGCAGCTGCGCCACCCGCCTGGGACTGCACCTGGGACTACAGTTGTGCCACCCACCTGGGACTGCAGCTGCACCATGGCGGCCTCCATCTCAGAGTTGGACTCATTCAGGTCGCGAATCTCCTGGTTCAGCTGCTTGATCTCCTCATCATTCTCCAATACTGCTCCAGAGAAAAACCTTGGTTGTGGCTCTTGGCTTTATGCCCAGGCCAGCATGTGGGGGTGCAGTAGAGGCCTATTTTCTAGGTGGAACAAAGGACCCTTTCCAAACAGAGGTAACCGGCCTGGCATGCTAGGCAGCTCATATCCCACATGTCATGCTGGAAAAGTCGGGCTTGGAGACTAGTAGCCATATGCCTACATCTGCCTCCTGACCCTGGGTGATGGGTAGGAGGATATAAATCTCTCTGTCAGGTATTAATCGCTAAGATAAAGATGGAAGTTTTCCAGGTGGTGCTGAATTTCCTCAGCTTCCCTCTTCCTTGAAACTGAATTCACAACTCCACAAACCCCGAGAACATGGCTTCTGATGCCGCCTGCAGGGTTCTCTGATGCCAACACTTACCAATACCCAAGTTAGAGCAAGCATGGCCACTTGAGGGCCAGGAGCCCAGACTCCAGGCAACCAGGGGTTCAGAGCTGAGGCTGGGAGACCTGTCGGCTCAGGTCAGGGGTCTGTCTCCACCATGACTCACTCCAGGAGGGACTCTGGCTCCCTAACCCCTTCCACCAGCACTGCTCACTCACCCAGGTTACAGAGATCACTTGGAGGAACTACAGGAACCTTACCATCACTCGTCTTGAACTTCGTGCTGAGAACCTCATCCCCTGAGACTTTTCCCTTCTTTCCAGCAAAGGTTGCTCTGGGACAGCCGGATAAGCTGGAAGCAAAGGTCACACACCAAAAACCAGTCCAAAGTCACACACCAAGGGCCAGGCCAAGATGACACATCATAATGAAACCAAGTCCTCACTGGCTGGCAGCCTGGTAGGATCCTGGCTTGGAACTTTCTCATTTATCTCCTTTTGCTCCCTGTTCCCTGGCTCCAGCCCCCAGGCCTTTCCCAGCTCTGGCCACTGCCTTAAAGTTTCGTCCCCAGATGGTGTAGGGCCAGCGCCTTACCCCTTTCTCAGAGAGGCCTCCCTAACTCCTCCCTGCCACTATTCTCCCCACAGCATCCACCCCTTTGGCCATCCTAGGTACCTCACTCATTTGTTTGCTTATAGTCGGTGCCCCACCCGCCTGGCTCAGATCAACTCTTGTTCTCTGCTCTGTCTCAGGGCCTGGTATGTAGTGGACGCTCAGTAAAGGCTTGTGGAATGAATGAGCTAATTAATCTTGTAGGTGGAGAGACAAGGGCAGAACAAAAGAAAGACAAAGGTTTCTGAAGGACTGTGTGGTAACCCCCTGCACCTCGGCCAACATCTCAGCTGCCTGACACACAGAGGAAGAGAATGGGGGGATCCAAGGCCCCCCCAGCCCTGGAGCAGGTATTGGGGGGCAAGCGAGAGCCCAGGCAGGGAGGGCTCTCGCCACCATGTCCCTTCCACAACAGGCAGAGGCCTAGACCCAAAAGTCAAAGAAGAGGCCCCAGAGGGAGGGGCAGGGCATGAGGTATGACAAAGCCTTTCATGAGAAGCTGGCAGCCTGTTTCCAGAATGCACACACCAGACTCAGGGCTCTGCTCACTCTTGCTGGAGGGACTCTACTGGGTTGTAGAAGGGGGCTCATGACAGTAGCCACATGGGGTGACACATGTCACAAACACCATGATCTCGTCCCAACAGATTGTCTATGGCTTCCCCCAGTCGGCTACCATTCTGGGCCTTGCTTTTCCCTAGAGAAACTATAGGCCACGACTGAGCCCTAGTCTGGCCCTTCCTGAAGAGCCTTGCTCACGTGCCCAAGGCTGGGGTCCCGATGAAACACAGGGTGTGCAGGGCAGTTACCTCCTGTGGGTGAGGAAGCTACCGTTGGCGTGGCCAGAGCCATCACAGCCTGGAGTGGGGCAGGTAGGCCCCTCGTTCTTCAGAGATTTCCAGGAAAAGGGTGAGCCATTAAGGGAACCCTCTTTCTGCCTCCGTGCGGCCAGTGGGCAGCCAGATGCACTTCTGTGGGAGGCGTATTTGCCGCTGATGTGACCAAGCCCCACACAGCCTGGAACAGGGCACCTGGCACAAAGAGGTCAGAGGTGAGCACAGGGCACTGGAGGAGGGAGAAGAAGCCCAGAGACTCTCCCAAGCCAGACACTGAGACTGCTGGGGGATCCTGGATAAACTCCCACTGTCCGAGTGATTCCTGAAGCCTTCCCAACCAGACACGAAGGCAGCAGAGATCATGTTCCCTCTCCAGCCGCAGCCTCACGCCCCCTGCATCCCTGGAAGGTCAGCAGCTACCCTCTCTCTCCACCCCTCAGGAGCCATGATGCCCCTGGGCCCTGGGCTAGCTCTCTGGAGCCTCTGGGTCTACACCTAGACCTTGCTGCCACATCACGTCTACATCACCCCAGGAATGTGGAGGCCACACCCTGGGGATTGCACCAAGCAAAGTGCCGGGGGCCCTGGGGGTCACAGAAGGTCACAAGTGCACATGCAGCCATGCAGTGTGGGGACAGCAGAGGCCCCATCACCCCACAGCATCCCAAAATGAGACTGTCAAGGCATGATGTCCATAGATGTCCCAGCTTCGCCACATCTGAAATGTGTGTTCTGGAAGGAAGAACCCAGGCCACAGGGCTCATGCAAGAAAGATTCGGTTCAGATATTCCATTGTGCCTCCTGCCCGAGGCTGGCTTGGAATGGTATTTTCCTTTGTTCATGTTGTTCCAGGACAAGGAGAGAATCCCTTGAAGAAATAACACAAGCCCCAGGAACAGGTGAGGTAACTGGAGAAAGGTTCAGAGTGAATCCCCCTCATGCTGCCATTGGAATCCGTGCACCACAGAAAACCAGCTGATGCAGAGGGCTCTGGCCATCCACCTTCATGGCCTTCAGGACAGACCAGGACCAGGAACTCCCTGAGATACCTGAGCACCAACATTTCAGGATCATGGGATCTGAGCTCAGGACCACCTAGGAACCAACAACTGACCGAGGATGAGATCCTGCACCTGCAAGTTCTCAGTTTTCTCCCTCCAGCAAAAGAGACTCATATAATTTGCCATTCGTTTTTACCCACTTTTTAGGGGCTGCAGACCTGCCAAACACACAGTACCTTGAAAAGGGACATGTTGCCCCAGTTTAGGGAGAGGTCTCTGGGGTGGGGAAGTCAGAGGCAGGAAGTCTTTTGGAGGGCAAGGGCCGCCCGGGGGCTCCTGCCGCAGCAGGTGAGGGGACGGGGCCTTGCTGCCCAGCAGTTGCCCCCACACTATGGCCTTGCCCCCAAGGTGGCCACTGCAGACATTTTCCTAGCCTCCTTGGCCTGGATCCGTCCTCATTTGTCTCCTCCCTTGGTGCCCATCCCTCTCTCGTCTTTGTCCCACACACATGGGCCTCAGACATGCAGGATGGCCCTGAGCCGGTCCAAGGTCATCTCGGCAAGCAGTCCAGAGTGAAGATACTGCCATGGGCCCTGCAAGGAGCTTGGGGAGGATCCACTCTACGTCTGCCCCTCACACCTGGATACCGCCCAGCTGTGGGGTCCCATGGACACTGAAGCACATCTGAGCACCCAACAGAACAAGATCAAAAGACCAAATGAGAGGCAGCTCTTCACGGTTACAACACAGACTTGGATCTGAATTCCTTTTACTCACATTCTTTGCAAAACCCTAACCTTCCTCATCAGGAATGATTCCCTGGAATTTATTCATAGTGGGTATTTCAGACATGTGGACAGCAACACTGTTTTTCTTCCCCTCCACATCCAGTATCCAAATCTTCAGAGCTATCAGGTGACCTCACACTAAGATGTGTGTGGGGTGCCAAGTCAGTCAGCTTCTGTACCTCCCAGGTGAGCCAGTGGTGGGGCCGCTAGGACCCCAAGGTCAGAGGCGCATCTCTTTTGTCAGATGTCGGTGTGGCTGGAGACAGTGGTGGGGGTGGGGGGCTCTCCACAGGCGATGGGCGTTGAGCTCCTAACCCCCACACTGGAACATCCACAAACTTTTATGGCCAGTTATTTCATTTTGGCCAAAGGGATTTACCACAATCTACTGACATGACTTAATCTCAAATGGTGCAGACACAAGATGTCATAAAAGGGAACTCTTCCCCCACCAGCCTTCCACAATCACAGCGAGCAAGCACATGCTCACAAAATCCCGTCACTCGACAGGACCTGACGCACCGATTAAAGTTTCTGCTGTGGTCTGCACTTGTTGTTATAAATACAGTTGAAGTTTATGGCTGGGAAGGAGGCCCTATAAAATGGAGGTGCTGAATGGGCACCCCCCCCCGCCCGCCTTGCCATGGAGCCATTAGGAACTTCATCCATCCTGTAAATGCTGACCTGCTTCTAAGTCATATTCTCCACTTGGCTGCAAAAATCTTGTTTTTTAAAAAGCGAAGTTGACAGCACATTAGGAGGAGGAAAACCATTTTTCCCAGTTAACTTGAAAAATGCTGATCTTGATTTTAATCATTTGCAAATGCAGCACAATTCACTTATCATAACCCTACAGCAGGATCCTTTCTAATCCATAGCAGCTTGTGTTTATATGGCTTCTCAGAAGGATAAATGTTCTTCCTCCATCCCAGCATTTAGTGGGCTGCATTCATGACACCAACATCCACATACTTTGCATTTTTGAGTTAGCATTCATTATAGTTTTACTGTAAAAACTAAATTAAATAAACAAGCCACAGCCTTTTTACACCAAACAGCTGGTGGGGCCAGCCCCTTGGAAGGATATGATGCTGGTCAATCAGGTCTCTCCTCTGTAGCCAAGCAGATGTTTAGGTGCAGCTGGGGTGAGCTCCAAGGAGGAGCTACTGACTCCTGGTCCAGGTTGCTCCCCTCAGCAGGGGTGAGCATCCAGCTACTCTTGGCCCAAAGGCAACGCAATCAGGGCAGCTGGGCTTTCTGTGCACCTGCCTGGCCATGCCCTGACCAAGCCAGCCCCAAGGCCTGCACCACGATGCAGCCAGAACCCTTCCCTTCCACTCCTCAGCTGGCAAGGGGACCCAGTGCTCTGTTCACTGTCAGCTCTGAAAGTCCTGGGAAAATTGAATGGTGGGTCACTCTGTTTGCCCCTGTGGCCCAGTCTTGCCCCTACCGGCAAGGGGGGGGGGGCTTCAGGGGGCAAGTTCCCTTCTGGAAGCATAAACTTGCAATGATGCAACCCCTACCAAGTGGCGCACTCACAGGGTCAGAGTTCACACACAATCCCCCTGATGACACGTTAGGCACCCCCATGAGACGGTCAGTGGTGGGTATCAAGGGCTTTGATCATGTAAAGCCCAGGATGTCCTTGCTCCTCCCCACAGCAGTGTCGAGGTCCCAGTTCAGAGTGACCCTCCTGGGTTCCCCCCTTCCATACCAGCTCCCTGCAAAGGTATGTGAGTGTGCAGACACACACAATTCAAAAACTGATCATCTTTCTAACCATCCTCTCCTCCTTGACTCCTGCACCTGTCCTTTCCCATCAGACCACAGCTGTGCAGGTTTCAATACCCATGAGCACCCTGGGGGGCTGCTCCATGCCCTGAGCCCTCACCCAGGTGACCCCCCAGGTGCATGGGCAGCGGGGCCCTTTGCCTCTCCTGGCCCCATCAAATACCCCCAGATCTGAGGAGCCCAGACGGAAGCCAGTGCCTCTGCGTGCTCTTGATACAACACACACAGCTCACAGCTTCACAGATGTCCACATGCACAGTAGGAGAACTTCGGTAAAAATGGGCATTGTCATTGACCAGCTGTGCTAATGAAAAAGGAGTCTAGAAGGAGCTTTCTAAAATTATAACATACAGGAACATCCCAATTCTGCAAAACAACCACAGGAGTCAGCAAGACCCCAACTTACTTCATCAGCTCGGGGTCTTCCTTGTCATCCTTGGTGGGTGTCACCCTGGCTCCACTTTTCTTGGCACGAGGGCAGCCTGACAAGCTAGTTTTGAAAAAGGAAGAAAAGCCACTGTGGTCCCAGAACGGCAACATCTCCCACCCATCTGCTCCACCCATCCCTTCCAGCTCTGTGGCCAGCCACCCCCAGGGGATCCCAAGGGAACTTCTGTCCTGGAGCACTCTCAAGGGCAGGAGGGCAACGGCAGGAGGTGTCACCACGAGCCCTTTAGTCTGGTGGCAGAGGGCGACCTGATCGGGCTCAGGAACATCAATTCAGGTGACAGAGATGAACCAGGCTCCAGCTGCCGGCAACACTATTGTCTTGTTTGGAGACAGAGATGAACCAGGCTCCAGCTGCCGGCAACACTATTGTCTTGTTTGGAGCGCTGCAACTTTGTCTGAGGAAGAGACCCATCCCACTCCATCTGGCCTGGCACCCCGGGCTCGGCAGACTCACCTTCGGTGGGAGGCGTAGTTCCCAGTTATGTGGCCAGAGCCGTCACAGCCGGGTGTGGGGCACCTGTGGAGGACAGCGGAGCTGGAACCAGAGCCAGGGAAGACACTTGACCAGAAAGGCCCCCTCGGTGCCCAGCCCCCAAGCGGGCCCACCCGCCTCCTCAGCACTGGTCTCAGAAATGGCGTGCGGTCCTGGCCAGCCTGCTGCCATGACGCCTGCCCTTCAGAACGTTGCCACCCGGTCTCCCCGGTGGGTCCAAGAAGGCCAAGACGAGTACATCTCCACTGCAGGAATCACGGGCTGCCATTTCAGCCTTCGACGGGGTTCTAGGCTGGACTAGAAGGTTCCAGAACACATATGGGCCTTTAAACAGCATTCAGAAAGGCAACCCTAACAGTTAAGATGGGCTCATCTTCCTTGACATGACTAGGAGGAAGAGGGGTTGTTTTCATGGAGGATTGCCACCATCTGAGCGAATGAACTGATGTCTACTGAGCACGCATGACACACCATCCACAGCGCCGTCACCTAGAGGTGGATTTCTCAGTGAGTGCAGAAGTCCCACAGCCAGAGGCTGTTCAGCGGTGGCAGGCACTGGCCAAGGGTGAGGAGGGGGACACAAACACAGAAGCCCAACTTGATGCGTCCAAAATGTTTGACAAACATATCCCATAGAAAGTGAAAATTACACTTTAATACAAAAGTATGGGTTTTCTTAAATTATTCTTCCCTGTATGTCCATGGCAGAAGAGTGAGTGAGTTCCTGCTGGTAGCAGAATGGGGAGGTGTGCCTGATTCTGCAGGTGGATCCACCAAAAATCTCCAGAGCAGGTCTGCCACTTTGTACCTTGTTCCATGGAAGGGCGCAGCTCCAACCCTGTGGGACCTAGCAGGACCTTGGTGTTTGCATCTGGGATTTCACAGAACACTCATCTGCGGGTTCTGGTTTCATCCTCACACAGAGAAGAAACCGTGGGAGCCGAGGCCCAAGAGGGTTATGGGGACTCACATCAGCTGAAACAGGACATGGGTCTCTGCCTCTCAGTCAGTGGAGTTCCCTAAGGCACTTAGGCTCCTGTGCTGTGCCCACAGCCCTTCCTCAGCAACCTCTTCCACCGGCCAGTGCAGCACCTGGCATTTGGAGCAGGAAGCCGGCACAGCCAAAGGACCCCCCCACAGCTCTTCGGCTGCCTCCTAGAACTCAGCAGGCCAGAACTGCCTCTTCCCATCAGAGGAAGCGCAAAGCTGGTGTGGCAACATGGGAGGGGTCAATGCCCATCCCACCAGCTTCTTCTCCAATCCCACTGTCTTTCTCAAGGCATCCCATTCATCCCTGTCCTGCAGGCCACACGTGGGAAGCCTCCCTGGGCTGACAGCAGGCCCACCAGTCCAATCGCCCTCCTGTCGGATTTAGGGATAACTCAAACCCTATGAGATTATGATGGCTCCTACTCTGGTCATGTGTGGTCACATTTCAACCCACACACGTCTAGGGCAAGAAGCTTTTTGCATTTTAATAGAAACCACACACCACCTCCATCTACGTGAGCTTCACTCCTTTCACAAAAACCCCCAACCCGTACAAAGGTCCTGCTGGGACACTCTGTGCCTCTGCATCATCCAAGGTCCCAGGGTGTGAGCTGCAGTGGTTGGCCCCTTGCTGTGGGCACCAAGTCCTTCAGGCATGTCATGGTATGCCCTCACGCTACTCTCCGCTGAGGCCAAGGCCCCGTTGATGCCTCCCTGCACCCTCCTCAGCTCAGAGTGCCCTGCCAAGCGTTCTCATGGCCCGCGCTAGCAGGAGCCCTGTTCCTGCTCTCTGGAAGGCTAAGTGCAGAGACTGAGGAGGGTGCTTCTCCTTCCTGGGTTTGCAGGTGCTCGGGTGGCCGCCTGGGGCTCCACTCTTTCTCGGCTTCGGGAAAACATGGCAGAACTCAAGCTCAGTGCTGCAGGTGGTGGGCAGGGCATCAGCAGCCCCAGGCCTCGATGCCAGTAAGTGCAGGTCTGGTCTCTGGTGCAGGCCCCGTGGCACCTGTGAGTAAGGCTGGCAGGAGAGAGCATGTACATGGGGATGGTCCCTGCCAGGTCCCAGCACAAGGGGGCCCACTGAGGCACACCTTCTCCAGACCAGGGGCGGCGGGGGCGGGGGGCATATGCACTCCTTGCTGAGGCCCAATTCAATGGCTTTTCCCAAAAGGCGTGGCCAGTAGAAAATGATGTTCATGTGGCTAGAGAAGCAGGTATCCATGCTGGGCACTGGCTGTGTCAGCCACTCTCATGCCCCTGAGGACCCACAGGATCAGTTGCAGGAACCCCACCATCTGCTTCTGAGTGCATTGTCTGGGCAAGAGGAAGAATCCTGTGTCTAAAGGACACACTATAGCTTGATAGCGCACACCAGGTCTCGTCTCAGAGCCCCATCCCTGTCCCATGGTGAGGAGGCCACCCCCACCTGTCAGAGCCCCCATCACACCACTTGCAGGGTACGCACCCTGCACCTCAACTCCCCACACACAGACTGGGCTGAGTGGCCCAAGGCAGCTGTGTCCCCAGCCCCTGACCTGGGCACTTGGTAGGGAAGAGCAAATGCCCTTGGGATTCGATTAAAGCACAGAAAACACATGATCTGAGGCTGTCACTGCACCCAGTTGTTGATAGGGAGGCCATCAAAGGAGCCCCATTTGCAAGGCAGTGATGTAGGTGTCTTTTCCTCTCTGGGGACAGGTCACCTTCCCCCATCACCGCCACAAGGCTGGTCAGGAGCAGCCTCTGCAAGATGCCCACTGGACAGGAGGAGGGAGGAAGAAGAGGGAAGCACCAGCACGCCAGGACCATCTTGGAGGCCTGCCCGCATCACCCCCAGCCCTCGCTGTGGCCCGAGAGGACAGAGTTGACTCCCACAGAAAGAGCTCTGGGGCCAGAGAAGAGCTTGAGGGGAGTCAGGGCACCTTCCCAGACCTTGCCAAAGCTGATGAGTGACTTGTTTCCACACAAGACCTTCTGTTGCTATTTCTAAACAAGTTTGGGTTAAGGTTCCTCACAGGCTCTTTGTCGTAGACGAGCACTAACGCTCCCAGATGGCCATGTTTCCAGACCCAGACCAGGCCCTGAGCCCCTGCTCTGCAGGAAGAAAGGTCTGAGAGCTCTAAAATCATTCTGGCCCTCAAACTGGAAAACCATGAAAACTAATTACAGTTAAAATGCAAGTTGAATTGGGAAAGGAAATAGGAAAAAAAAACATGGGAAAGACGTTAGGAGAAGAGAGGAAGGAAAGGGAGGGGAGGTGGATGAAGAGGGTCCTGAGCCTGCAGGACCGATGGTTTCAACTTGTTGTCTGGGGCTGGACCCGGGAGTGGATGAGTGAGCATGTGAATCTGCCATGATGAGCTGAGCCTCAGAAAATGTTCACGTTAAAGCTGTTAGCTCTTAGGACGATTCTCGTGGTGGACCTTGCCCAGAACAGAGGGCCCCATTGGTAACAAGGGGCAATGACACGCTTCTGGCTGCTGGGACCAGAACAGCCTCCCCAGAGTGACAAAGAGGAGGCTGGCAGGATGGGGGCACTCTAGAGATCTAGAGCTTTCTGCCCTGTTTCTAAATCAGCTCAGGCCCCTTGGAAGCCTTTGGCAGCAACAGCTCCTCATCTTAGAGGCCCTAGGGCCCCGGCTCCTATCTGGCCCCAGACGGAATGAGCCTAGATTCAGTGGCACCCGATATGAAGGCTCAAGGGAGGGACGAACACCCCTGGAGAGGGAGTGAGCTGAGAGGACAAGAGTAGGACCTCCTTCCTGAGCCTCTGCTCAGCCTGGGAGCCCAGGATCAGCACTGCATGGCTCAGGGTCACAGTGGCTCAACTGAATGCATAAAAACCAAAGGCAATGACAGTCCCCAACTCCAGCCCCAAGAGGACACTGATAACCTGGGAAACCTCTGGGTGCTTCCATCACATTTGAGCAGGGCAGTCAAGCAGGCTAGTTGGTGCCCACAAGGTCTGGCCTGCCTGTGTGTTAGGGACAGGGAGGAAAAGCAGAAAGAGGGGATGCTCAGCAAGGAGAAGGGGATGAGCATGGAGAGGCATATCTGGGAGGATCACCAGGGGCCAAGACAGAAGCAGCTGCAGGGGTCGTAGGAGAAGGGCAGGGCAAAGAGTTTTCTCTTGCATCATCAGCACCCAGATCCCTTAGCAAGAGCCGCGCAGCCTGAAGCCCGCTGAGCCACAGCAAGACTTAGACGCCAAGGCCAGCTCTGGGCTTCTCCCACACCGCAAGGGCAGTGACAGAAGCAGGCCCAGACAACCCCATACTGGGTCCTCGGGAGAGGGAGGGTGGGCTGGGCCATCAGGAGCTGGAGGCGGGTCCTCCGGCCCTCTGTCCTCAGAGCAGTCGGCAGGGCCAAGGGCAGCACAGGGGCCTGCAGCAAGGGACAGGCAGACAGCAACACTCAGAGCAGAGACACACAGGCGGCGGCAGCAGGAGCCCCCGGCAAGCAGGTCGGCCCCTCCATGGCCTGTCTCTCTGCCCCATCCTGCTGGGAGGGGCTCCCCTGGGGCTGGAGCCCTGGAGAAGGCCGACTTTGGCTGGGGCCTCATGGAAGGAGAGAACAGAGCAAGGGAGCCACCCAAGAGACGGGAGGCCAGGAGGGCAGACATACTTGAGGTCAGCAGAATGGGCAGCCATGAGGTTTCTGAGGCTCTTGTCAGCAAGAGGGCAACCAGAGAGGCTGAAAGAGAAGAGATGGGACACTGGGGTGAGCCAGAGGGGGAGCAGAGGAGGGGAGGGGAAGACCCACCACGCAGCACCCAGGCCAGGCTGGACCCGAGCAGGGACGAACCTGCGGTGAGAGGCATAGTTCCCGGTGATGTGGCCACTGCCATCACAGCCAGGGGTGGGGCAGCTGAACAAAGGAAAAAGAGTGTCAGAACAGAACAGAGAGCAAGGCACACCTGCCAGGCCTGCCCCCCGGGCGGAGCCCACTCGGGGAGAGTGGCCGACACTTGTTCTTGACTCACCCACAAGCCAAGGGGCGACTCCCCCCCTCGGTCCTCGGACTGCAAGCTTCTCCCACACAACTTAACTCAAGGAGGAAAAAGGAACCGAATTCAAGCTCAGCTTGAAGCTAGGATGCCTCTGCATGCACACGTGTGTGCCTCTGCATGAACGTGTAGGCCGGCGGTTCTTCCCTAAAGCGGCATGACCCTCCCTGAGGACAAGGTCCCAGACCAGAGCCTGGGAAGAGTCAGCTACAAGTTTGGTTCATAGCAAGGAGAAGAGGAACCCCAGGGGCAAACTGAGCACAGGGGAAGGCTGGGTCCCCGGCGGCACAGATGCCAGCTCCCACAGTCCTGTAGAAGACGGGCTTCTCCAAGAGCGGTTGACTCGCCCTGTCAGGTCCCAAGAGCCTCCGCTGCTCTGGGCTCTGCACTTTGGATCCCCAGAAATCCCGCAAGGGGCTGCTATTATCTCAAGCTTGAAAGTGTCAAGAACCGACAGGGCAAGGCTGTGGGGTGGCATCCAACCATAGGGTGACTCCTATCTACCAGCAGCTTCCCCAGTCTGCAATGGCATCTGCTTGGACCCCGTGAAGACCAGCTCAAAGGGGCTAGCTGGGCTGCCAGAGCCGAGGGCACTGAGTCCTAAAGCAGAGTGCACGTTAGGCCTGGGCTCTGTAAGCCAGGGCAGATGGCTGTGGCTCGGGAGAGGGTCAGCTTCCCTTGGCCCTCGTCTTGCTCTTTGGGCCCGAACAGCAGCTCTTCCTTACTCTTACACTTTAGAAGTTTGTGTTAGATCCAAGTGCAGCGCAGAGATGACGGAAAACCTGTCACCCATTGCCAGGCTCAAGAGGGTCGTTGTGCAGGACGCCCAACCTCTCCGGCCAAGAGGATGGTCGGAGCTAAGCTGGGGCAGGGACAAGGCCTGGGGCTGAGCAGATCCGGTCATTAGGGACTCAGACCAGGGCACGCTTTCTTCCAGACAATGAAGGTTCTCGGGGACTCCTCTTGGTCCAGGTGGGGACTTACGTGAGCAGCTCCTTCTTTATTTCCTTGGAGAGAAACTTCATCTTAAAGTTGGTCAGGGTAACTTCCCCAGGATACTTCCGCTCCTCAAAACTCTCTTCCGACACTTCCTGGTCATCTGCTTCAGAAGAAGCAAAAGAATGGGCTGCTGGCTCTGACTGCAAAAAACCAGCAGGGAGACGTTTTAACCAGCTGGCGGGGGGCCGGGCGCCCGACCCGGGGGCTGAGGGAGAGGGACCCTTCAAACAGTGTTCGCAGAGACATTTTCTGGAGTCTCCTGCCTTCTGGATGAGGGAGGAAGCCTTACCCCCCCAAAAAGAAAGCACAGAAGACAGCACCCCTGAGGGGCTAGAGCGCTCCCCCACCTCGGCCAGAGCTGCTCAGCTGCCCCAGGGATGAGCAGGCCTGGATGCTGCCCAGTGCGGCCGGCTGCGCCACCCTCCCACGGCCTCGGGCGTGTGGGTCACCTCCACCTAACCGCCGCTGGGCCACCTTCTAGACACAAGAACCTACACAGAGTGCAGCTCCTTGGGGCTCAACAGACAGTAGCACCAAACAAGTGTTTGTTGAGATGCTATGACGAGGAGAACACAAGGCGAGCAATAGCATACAAAATGTGACCTTGTGACCCCCTGTACCTTCCCAGCCAGCGCCAGGCCCCGACCACAGCAGGCCCTTCATAAGCTCAAGTTCTAGGTCTGGAGGGGATCGGTAACCAGCAGAGGGCAGGACACTATGGACACAGGGTTGAATAAGGGCAAAAGTAGAGAAGGTCAACACCCTGCAAGTGGGTCTGTGCTCGTTCCTGGTCCAAATCCCAGTGCTGGCATGTGTGTGTGTCTCAGGCAAGGTGTTCAACCTCTCCGGGCCCAGATGGTACACTTTCAAACTTGAGATACTAGCAGCCCCTTGCAGGATTTCTGGGGATCCAAAGTGCAGAGCCCAGAGCAGCGGAGGCTCTTGGGACCTGACCGTGAATCTCGTCAGTGTCAGGGGGGTGCAATTCCTGGCACGGATACACTGATAACGATCACTACACGAGGCACGGGGAAGCGGGTCCTTCCCCTGAGCAAGCTGGCCTTAGCTGGGTCCTCAGGGTAGATGGCAGCTTCCCAGAAACACAGGGAGGAGGCTGTTCCAGGGCAGGGAGAGCAACTCAGAGGCCCATGGACACCGCCCTGACTGCTGCCAGAGGCTGGGATGGGAGGTGAGGCTAAGGGTGAGGGCGCAGCCTTACACAGGATGGATCAAGGAGCCTCAGGCAGAGCTAGAGAGTCTGAGTCAGGGGTCCAGGGCCATGGTAGAGGGGCCAGGAATGCCTGGATAAGGGAGGCATTTCTGGGGGTGACCCACCTGTGCCCAGAAGGGGGCTGGAGGAGAGGAAGGGACTGGGAGTGAGCTGAGGCTCTAAGGTGGAGAATGACGGTGGGGAGGAGTATGGGGGCAGGCTTCTGTGGGCAAGGACCTCAGGACCTCTGAGACTGATGACATGAGTCTTGGGGTGCTCAGAGGGTGTGTGAAAGGAGAAGGGGAGGGGCAAGGCAGCCACGGATGTCAGCCTGAGCTGGGGGTCATGGAAAGGGGCAGGGAGGGGCCAAGCGAGGGGCTGCAGTCACCAGGAAGGGGGCTTAAACCTGGGGGCAGGACTGGAACAAGGTAAGAGCAGACTATACTGGTAGCTCCCCCATAAGAGGGCCCCACCTGGCCTCAGACTGGGCTCCCAGTGACCAGGGAGAAAACCACCGACACGGTCCCAGGAGACCATGTCCCAGGCCAGCCCCTTCCACTCAGGGCTCAGTCTGAGAGGTGTCCCCCTTCTGGGGCCTAACCCTAAGTTATAGCCCCACCACTGTGCCAAGGGACCTCAGCCCAGGGCCCAGTCTGCTCCTCCATAACGTGGAGATACATGTGAGGTATGTAGAGGGAGCTGGGGGAGGGAGGGTTGAACTGCAGGATGGTAGTTTCCCAGAGAGGGATCTTCCACAGGGACCGTCCCCCCTGCCCTTCTGGGGTTGGTGGGTGGGGTGCTGGCAGGGATGGGGAGGGAGAAGGGAGGGGACCTGCAGGCCCGCCCACACTGTGTGGAGGCTCCCCAGAGTCTGCCATCTCACAGCTGGGCTCTGCTACTCGGGACGCACACCTCTGTGGGGAAGAGCCTTCAACCCGTCCCACTCTCAGGAGGGTAGAGTGGTTAGAAAGGGATGTCCCCCTGTCCCCAGACTGCAGCTCTGACAAAGACATCTGGCTTGTTGCTCTTTACCAGGTGGTGCTGGTCTTGGGACTCAGGCCACTGCCCACCACAGGGGGTCCTCTGTCCAAGGAGCCAGCTGGCTGGGTTGTCCTGTGGATGGTGAGCAGGGACTGCTGCCAGAACTCAGGGTGTCCCTATCTGGACAGCAGGTTGCAGGGAGGCCACAAAACCCAGGAATTTGGAACCATTCCCAAATATTTCCCATGGGATGTGAAAGAAGCCCTCCTTCTCCCCATGCTTTCCAAGGGCCCACAATGGTGATGATCACCGAATCCACGGAAGCGAGAAGACAACTTCTCTCTTAGACGGGACAAGACCACAGCATGGCCGAGGGTGAAAAACGCCCCAGGAGGGCAGGCCGACTCCTAGCTTCCTAGAGGTAGCAAGGCCCCATGCGGGCAGGGGCAGGAGTATGAGTAGAGAAGGTCAACAGGGAGGAGGCTGTTCCAGGGCAGGGAGAGCAACTCAGAGGCCCATGGACATTGCCCTGACTGCTGCCAGAGGCTGGGATGGGAGGTGAGGCTAAGGGTGAGGGCGCAGCCTTACACAGGATGGATCAAAGAGCCTCAGGCGGAGCTAGAGAGTCTGAGTCAGGAGAAGCTCTTCCTGGAGAAGCAAGCACTTTTCACACCAGCCCTCAGGCCCCACACCCACCTCCTCGGGCTCCTCCTCTCGTTGGCGGCTGGGCTTGGTGTAGTCCAGAGGTCGATCCCACTCGTCCTGGCGGGAAGCCTGGCTCGACTGGGGCGAGGTCATGGAGCTGCTCGGGGCGCTGGTGCCGCTCTGGCGCTGGGAGGCTTCGGGAGACTTCACACCAGGGCTGCTGCTGCTGGGGAAAGCGCTTTCTCGCTTGCGGTGTTTGTGCATGCTCAAGTCCAGGGTTCCATTCTCATCCACCTCAATGTCCGCAGCCTGCAATTGTGGAGGCAAGAATCCACGCTAGCGATTTCACCCTTTCCCAGGTGTGCCTTCTGGAACATTAAATCAGCATTACAGAAAGCCCAGAACAGTGTTTCCCTTGGAAGGAAGCAGAGCCAAACAAGAATAGAAGAACCTCTGAGAAGCAAGAATCTTGACTTGCCACTTCCTGAAATTCACGTGGAGAGCCTCCATTCTCTCTCAGGTCTTGCGAACATCACAAAACCTTGAGACGGGCTGACCATGATCACACAAGGACATGTACTCGACCCTCAGATTCGGGGAAGATGAGGTCACACGTGTGGGCATGACCCTCAGACTCAGGGGACCTCATGGGAACGTGTGTGGGCATGACCCTCAGACTCAGGGGAACGCATGGGAACGTGTGTGGGCATGACCCTCAGACTCAGGGGAACACATGGGAACGTGTGTGGGCATGAGCCTCAGACTCAGGGGAACGCGTGGGAACATGTGTGGGCATGACCCTCAGACTCAGGGGAACACATGGGAACGTGTGTGGGCATGACCCTCAGACTCAGGGAAACACGTGGGAACGTGTGTGGGCATGACCTTCAGACTCAGGGGAAGATGAGGTCACACGTGTGGGCATGACCCTCAGACTCAGGGGACCTCATGGGAACGTGTGTGGGCATGACCCTCAGACTCAGGGGACCGCATGGGAACGTGCGTGGGCATGACCCTCAGACTCAGGGGACCGCATGGGAACGTGTGTGGGCATGACCCTCAGACTCAGGGGAAGATGAGGTCACACGTGTGTGCAATGACCCTCAGACTCAGGGGAACACAAGGAAACCCGACCCTCAGACTTAGGAGAACATGAAGGAATATGTGTGTGCATAGCCATTCGGTCCTCCTTAGGCACAGCACACAGAGCTCTCAGAGGGGACTCATCCAACCTCTCTGGTCATCGTGAGCCACTACCAGGAGGAAGAAAAGGTAAGAATGATAATTGCCAAGTGGACACTGAGTGTCCCTAAGCGCATTTCATGCAGGGGCATGTGGTCCTGACTGCAAGTCCCACCAGCCTGTCTCTGCCTCAGAGGGGCTCCTTGTAGGGGACCCACCAACCTTGCTGGGCAGGTCCTGTGGCTTCGTGCTGAGGTTCTCGGGCATTTCCCAGCAGCGCGTGGAGAGGTTCAGGATGGCTGTGGCGGCCATGTGTGCAGCCTCGGCATCATGCGCGTAGTCGAAGCCTGCAGAGGAGGATGAAGCGCAGGGGCTGTGCCTGGGGGAAGAGGCCTTTGGGAAAGGTTTGGCTGCAAAAAGGGAACAACACCAGGCTGATACACAACTTGAATGGGAAGTGGCCACACAGACACAGTGGGGAACTTTGGATGCCTGGGAGTGCACAGGGCACAGCTATATGGAGGGTGGGCTAGGGGCAGGGTCATTCATCCCAGTCACAGGTACCCACAGCACACTCCTACTCACCCTCTCATAGGGCATTCAGGAGGCCATTTCTGGCTCATTTAAAATTTGGGCAGAGACCAGAGAGCAAAACCCTCCAAAGATATTCCAGCATCTCTGATATATCAAGCAAATACAAGTTGTCTATTGGTGAATGCTAACTGAGAGAGTAAAGAATTCTGTAAATAGGAGTGGGTGGAATATTATTCAAGTAGGAAAGTTTTTGTCACAACATCTCAAAAGGCTACTTTTGGTGTCCCCATAATACCACTTCAATAAAGTCATGTTATTATTCAAACAAACATGACCAATGAAGGCACAAAAAGTTATCTTTCTAGGAATTATATTGTAGTCATAAACTAACTCTCAGGCATGACATTTCTGATATCACAGTATCACCAGTAAATCTCCAGATCTACAAAGAGCTCCTTGTGAGTGTTACGTAGTGCCCATGCATAATGGCACCGAACAAGTGGGGCAGATGTCCACACTACAGCTGACCATCACAGAAGCCTGTCCACACCTGTGGGCGCCGTTCTCCACCTGGCTGGTCTTCCTGCCCTGACCCCTGTGCTGTCCTCCCAGCCTCTCCTCCTTCCCTTGTCTCCGCGCTGACCATCACAGAAGCCTGTCCACACCTGTGCGGGCCGTTCCCCGCCTGGCTGGGCTTCCTGCCCTGACCCCTGTGCTGTCCTCCCAGCCTCTCCTCCTCCCCTTGTCTCCGCGCTGACCACCCTCCTCCTCCCCTTGTCTCCGCGCTGACCACCCTCCTCCTCCCCTTGTCTCCGCGCTGACCACCCTCCTTCTCCCCTTGTCTCCGCGCTGACCACCCTCCTCCTCCCCTTGTCTCCGGGCTGACCACCCTCCTCCTTCCCTTGTCTCCACACTGACCATCCTCCTCCTTCCCTTGTCTCTGCGCTGACCATCACAGAAGCCTGTCCACACCTGTGGGGGCCGTTCCCCGCCTGGCTGGTCTTCCTGCCCTGACCCCTGTGCTGTCCTCCCAGCCTCTCCTCCTTCCCTTGTCTCCGTGGTGACCATCCTCCTCCTTCCCTTGTCTCCGCGCTGACCATCACAGAAGCCTGTCCACACCTGTGGGGGCCGTTCCCCGCCTGGCTGGTCTTCCTGCCCTGGCCCTTGTGCTGTCTGGGCTGGTGTCTCTGTGCTCTCTCTCATGCATTTACAACACTGAGCTCTTCCAAGTGTCATCACTTAGTGTTTCCATTATTAACATGACAGAAATTCCTCACTGCTGTATTTGAGGGCCAAACACCCACTGGGAGAGGCCAGTTCCTACCTCATGGGTAAACTGGGGTGCTTTTCCATTTTATATGTGTTTCCAGGGCTAATGGGCTTGCAAACCACAGACTGGTATATATTCAGTGACCAAAACAGGCAGGAAGGGTTGTTTTGGAATGCATTTTGTTAGTACAAGTACCCAGAAAACTTGTGGCTAATATCACAACACACTATCCAGCAAGATGGTCCACTTGCAGGAAGGCAAAGAGCTTCTCTGTCAGGGTACCCAGGCTCAGCATAGTGGTTGTCTGAGCCCCCACAGGGTGGACCACATCAGGGAAGCTATTCTTAAGCCTTTGGACATGCACACCACAAAGAACCTAGGTTTTGTTTCACAAATAGTGAAGAGACACATCACGCTTGATGGGGAACATGGCGGCAGTAACATGGGCAAGATACAGACTCCGGGAAAGCCACCATGGTAGACACTGGGATGGCCAGGTACCCCCAGGGGAGAGATTCCCTACATGCTTCTGGCGAGGGGGGTCCTTCCTCCCCCGTCTCCCAAACCCTACACCTCCCAGGAGTAGATCTCCCCAACTTACATTTAAAGGCTTTAGGTGAGGTTTCGCTGGTCTGAATCTTTGGGGCAAGCATGCGTTTGCCAAAAACCTGAGCGTCAAAACTTGCGTAGTCAAAGGTGACCTTGGAGAACTTCTCCAGCTCCTTGGCCAGGTTGGCCCTGGGTGTGGCAGGGGCCACACTAGGGCGGTAGCTTCCATACGGAGGGACTTCAAGCTGCTTCACGAAGCACATAGGCCTGAGGTGCAGGACAGAGGTGCAGAACCATGAGGACAGGGCCCAGGGATCCCAAGCCCCATCCTACAGCCTGGGCAGGAAACCCTCAGAGCCCTGTGTGCACAGAGACCCTCCCCCATGTCCCACCACTAATGGGTGTCTGGGCCTGCTCTGTATGAGAAAGAACTGCCTGTAGGGAGCAAGCAATAGAGGCCTTGAAGAAATGATGGCATGTGTCCTTGCAGACCAGAAGAAGAGGGAGGGCCTTAGACGTTCCCCCAGAACTTAGGAGGGCATGTTTCAAACAGCTCTGCTACCAGCAGTGTGAGCCCTTAGCAGGCAGGCCTCCAGGAGCATCCCTCAGAAAGTGGCCAGCCAGCCCTAGACAGAATTCTCCTGGTGCAATAATACAGCTGCCCAGTGAGGAAGGAGATGGGGCATCCAGAGGGGACATGGGTACTTCTGAGGACCAGGCTCAGGGAGGGCCCCCACATAAGGTCAGCTCTTCATGGGCCAGGGGCTCAGCCCTCCACTATTCTCTGCTTGAAGTCGGTGGAGAAGAGCCCCAGAGGGGCTGAGAGGGTTGAGAGCAGATGAAAAGGTCACTGCAAGCATCGGTTCACTGTCACCGAAGCCCTTGGAAGAGCTCAGCGTTGTAAATGCACGAGAAAGAGCACAGAGACACCAGCCCAGACAGCACAAGGGCCAGGGCAGGAAGACCAGCCAGGCGGGGAATGGCCCCCACATAAGGTGTGGACAGGCTTCTGTGATGGTCAGCGCAGAGACAAGGGAAGGAGGAGGATGGTCAGCGCGGAGACAAGGGAAGGAGGAGGGTGGTCAGCGCGGAGACAAGGGAAGGAGGAGGGTGGTCAGCATGGAGACAAGGGAAGGAGGAGGGTGGTCAGCACAGAGACAAGGGAAGGAGGAGGGTGGTCAGCGCAGAGACAAGGGAAGGAGGAGAGGCTGGGAGGACAGCACAAGGGCCAGGGCAGGAAGACCAGCCAGGCGGGGAACGGCCCCCACAGGTGTGGACAGGCTTCTGTGATGGTCAGCGCAGAGACAAGGGAAGGAGGAGGAGAGCCTGGGAGGACAACCCAAGCTCTCTTTACTCCTGACTCTGAACCAAGCAATGACTGCAGTCTGGAATTAAGAAGGGGTGGACGGTAAGGTCTCCAAGATGCTGAGTACTGTAAGAACAGGAGCCCACTGACAGACCCCGCAACCATGAGGAAATCAGCTCTGAGCCTGGACCTTGGAAAAGCAGATGCCCCCAAGCACAGGCATTCTCCCCCCAAGGAGGGCCAGGCGGCATCTGAAGAAGTTCCGGAACAGTGCTCAGGCACCGCCCAGGGGAGAAAAGAACCCTGAACTTAATATTGGTGCCACGTTTGGTTGGCTTCCTTGACCAGGGCTCCATCCCGCAGCAGACTTAGCGTCTGTGATGCCAACAGAGATTTGCAAAGACTCACCCCACACCCCAGGGCATGACCCTCAGAAACGTGGTCACAACGAATAAACAGAACCTGAACACAAGGCTCCTGCATCCTGGCCTCAATCGATACCATTTGAGGATCGTCACCAAGGGCCTGGGGAAGCAAAATGTCACCATCTTGTTCAAGCCTCCTGAGATATTTGTGAAGTCCACAAGATAACACTGTTGTCCACTTTCACAGGCAAACAAATGGAGGTCAAATTCCCAGGAGCACAGCCACCGCGTTGGAGCCTCTTTGCCCCCAACCCCGGGCTCACGGGGCCTCACCTGCCTGCTGGTTTGACATTTTACCAGTGACTTAGATCAAGTCAGGAAAAGACCTGGATTAGTAACGGACAGGAAGCTAGAAGGAACAGTTATAGGGTAAAAGTAAGAAGCAGCTTCCAACCATCCCAACAGCCAGCAAGTGGAAAGGAGCCAACTGGACATACAGGGTTGAAGGCACCCGTGGATGGGAGTGCAGGAGGGTGAGGCCCTGGCTCTGGCCCCATCCAGAGACCCCTCACAGGGGACCTGCAGAGCAAGCCCAGGTGGGTGGCTGGGTTCTCTGGTTGAGACTTTGGCAGGCACATGCCAGGGAAGGGACAGGGGGTTGGGTGGGCCCTGAAAGGAGGTGGGCCTCCCTCCAGACCAGGGTCCATGCTATTGCCCACGTTCGTGACTGCCTGACAACGGCCCTTGCCTCCCACATTCTCCTTTGAGAGGCAGACATGGGGCTGGGGTCTGGAAAACTGGGGAAGGGGAAGACTTATGTGAGTCCGAGTCCCTGAGGGAGACAGGAAGCAGATTGTCCACCGAGTATGGGCAGTAGGTAGGGAGTCACCCCGCTTGCCAAGAACAAGACTCGGAGGGTGGGCTGGCCGGGGGCCAGGGCCAGGTCCCCCAGCCGGTAACTGCGGCCTTGGGCAAGTTCCTGAGACTCGGGCCTTCATGTGTCACCTGCTTCACAGACTCACCTGGGTGGCGGGAGTGCTAAGCAGATGCATTCCGTATGGCCTTTCAGAAGCCCCCTTATTGCTGCCATATGTCCTGCCTCAGAACCTCTGGGGCCCCAAGCAGGCAATGCTCTGAAGGGCACCCCATGTACCCACTCCTCTCCCTCGGTTTCGGGCCCTTCCCCGGGGTGAGGGAGGTGTAGACAGGACAGCCAGGAAGGAGCAGCTCCCGGTGCGTCTGGGCGGCAGTGGCCCTCAGCTGGTGTAGCCTGCTCTCTTGACACAGGACAGCATCTCCACAAACAAAGCCCTGAGCAATCTCAAGCGGTGAGATCAGATGCCTTTGGGGAGAGCAGGGCAGGGGCGGCTTCGTGGGTGTTCACGCCACAGCCGAAACACTGGTGAGTGCAGCAGACGTCAGACTCTGTTCTGTGCGCCCCAGAAACTACCCTGCAGCTCTGCCCCCGGGAGGTCCCCAGGGCAACTCGGGGCATCACCACACTCATGCACATGCGTGCACGCACACACACACACACACAAGGGCACATGCAGTCCCAGAGACACTGGGAAGACCCCTGCAGGACTTGGGGAGGCAGGCGCCTTCAGTTCTGTGACTCATTTCACTCACCTGAGGATCCTGTCTGAATTGGAGCTATTCTTGGAAGGATCTCCCGTTTGAGGCTGTTGCTTCTCATGAGATTTGGCTAATTTTTCAGCAGCAGCGATGGGACACCCAGACAAACTAGAGAAAAGGCAAAGAGGACAGCTAAGCCCTCTCCTCCAGACCCTGCCTGTCCAAGCCAGGGAACCTGGAAGCACCAGCCAGAGTGTCTCTCTCACTCTGTCCTCGAGCCCGCAAACAGCAGCTGCACAGTCAGTTTCTGTCCGGGGAAACTCCAGGCAATGACACGCAAAAACCAAGTATATCCTAAATGCCTTCACGGCTTTGGGCGAAGGCACCTCCTCTGGGCAGGTCTGGGCAATGGGCCTGCGGAGCAGCTCCCTGCCCTCCCCTCACTGCTGACCGGAGCTGCCCTCGGGACCTGTCTCTGGCTCTCGCTCCATCAGCCAACCCGGGGAAGCCCAGGGCCCCACAGGCCACACAACCTGGGTGCTGACCCTGGAGGCCCAGGCCCCTCCCAGGAAAGGACCCCGTCTAATACATCAAGGGAGCAACTTCATCTGTCAGAATTAAGCTGACTGACTGCTGGCAAGGTGACAGTCCCAACCCCACTCAGGAATCTAGCCTCTTCTCAATGAAGGGGTCTCAAAAGCTCTAGCAGCCTTTGCAAGGACATCCCATCACAGCCACGGTACCCAAGGGGCTCCGGGCAAGCGTGGGGAATATGGTCACCTCTCACTGTGCAAGATGGCAGAGAGCTAAACCTTGAGTGCCTCCCAGGAGTCTCATGTCTATCTGGGCCGCGGCACCCACAGTCTAGCCCAGAGCTTGGTCCTGGCCGGCAGAGGCCCGCCATGAGCAAAAGTCAGTGTGCAGAGGCTCCCCAAACATCAGCAGGACTCACAGCCTGCACCTGGCTTTCCCCAAGGGCAGGAGGCCTCTCTGAAGGGCATATACCCATCCCTCCAGCTGCCCTCTGGTCTCTAAGGAAACCCCCAACAGGGACCACACTTCTGACCCCCCACCAAGAGGCCTGCCCTGACCTGGCACCCATCCCAAGCTGGGGCACACACACGAGGCCCAGCCCACCCCACCACGGCCCTCGCCATGCCTGGCTCCCCTCAGTACCTTCTGTGCGTGTTGCGGTTGCTGTTCACGTGGCCTTGGCCTGTACAGCCAGGAGTCGGGCACTTGAGCACATTCTCATGCATAGCCAAGACTGTAAGAGAACCAGAGGGAGGGACAGGTGAGCACAGCCCAGGAAGACGTAGGAGCCCCATCTGAAGTCTGCAACTTTGTAGGAGGACGGCAGCTTCGAGCAGCAACCCGGGAGGGCCCGCAAGCCTCAGCCCTGTCCCACTGTGGCCCCCTGCCTCCCTGGGGCAGAAACCAACTTGGCCTCAAACCCTCTGGTTGTTCTGTGATTTGCCTTTGAAATGCATGTTCACAAGCACTGCCTCTAGCCAGAAGTGAGGACAGGCTCTCTCCTTGTGCCCTTCGGAGCACAGGAGGCTGGCTCTTCCCTCGCAGGCCTCCTGGGGGCCCTGACACGGGCTGCTGTCTCAAGGTGGGTAACTGGGCACACTGCATGTCCCCAGCCTCGTAGGACTCAAGTTTGGGCATCTGCCAATCAGAAAGGGACAGGGCCCTGGGTGACTCCTCCTCCACGTGAACACCATCCAAGCAGCAGAGACGGCCTGAGCTATGCACAGCTACTCACTCTCCGGGGGGATCCTGTCCTTGTGGGGGCAACCAGACAGGCTTCGGTGGTGAGGGTACAGCCCTGTAACGTGGCCAGTGCCGTCACAGCCTGGTGTTGGACACTTGATCTCGCGCTTCTCAGCTCGTGAGGGATCTAAACACACAAGACACATCAGTTAGAGAGTAGCCAGAAAGCAGCGTTGTGGGTGGCAAGTGGGGGAGGAGGACGGGACAGCCATGGTTCTTCATTCACGCTGTCCAGAAGAGAGTGGCCAGACTGCCCAAGAGCCCGGGAGGGACCGGGGCTGGATAGTTCTGGGGAAGCTGGTCTACATCAGCCGTCCTCATGGAAAGTTGTCCCACATAACAGGATGTGCGTCATTTTAAAGAGGAGGACCCAGGTGGCAGCCAGCGCCCTCTATCCCTGCTCCTGTTGATATTGTGTGAATCCCGCTGGCTTCAGTGTGGGGGTCATGCCTCCAAGAGCCCCCATGCCTAGAGGTCCAGCCTCTGCACAGAGTCGTGAAAAATGGGACAAGTTCCTTGCCGGGATTTGGATTTGGATTTAACAAAACGAGGAGGACAAGAAGTTAACTTGCCAACAGCCGCGTGACTAATAAATGCATGGGCAGAAATTTCAACTCAAATCTCAGTTGCTGACCTCATCTAGCCTCCTGGGCCAGGAGATGTCACTACTGGGTATGGGGGCCAGAAAAGAACACCTGTCAGAGAACATCTGTCAGGACACGGATGATCCCCAGAGCAGAGCCGATGTCCCAGAGAAATTCCTAGGTGGAGCCGTCGCCTCTGGGAGAATGCAGAAGTCACACAGCCACACTCAGAACTCCCACCCCAGGCAAGGCAGAAACCCAAGGGGGTTCTGAAGTGCAGGACCCCTGGCTCTGCATCTCCACGTCCAAATGGGCAGGAAGTTGGACGTTCACCAGCCCAGCAGGCAGGGTCATCACCAACCCTTCCGCAACGCCTGCTTCCTGAACTGCTGCCACCACCACACAGACCCTGTCTGGGGCTCACGCTGCATCAGTCCCTTGGTGTGAGCCTTGTCTCTCCCACTGCCCGGTGCTTCCAGCCCGGCCATCTGCCTCACCCTGAGGCTCTGTCCCCTGGGTCCATGCCCTCAACTCCATCCCTGAAGGCAGGGCCCCCAACGTCTGTTCCCACAGGTCTGAGTCCCCCAAACACCTGGGCCTGGGGCTGTCACTCTGCCTGTGTCCCCCAGCCATGCAACCCTCAACAGTGTCCCACCGATGTCTGCCCTGATCTGTGAGCCCCAAGCCCACCACCTGCAGACTGATACCCCACACAGGCCCCAACACCTGTCCTAAATTTTGTCACCTTTACTTGGGTCTCCGTGCATCTGTGTCCCCTCAAGACCTTGCCGGTCTGAATTGAACTCTCAAGCAGCTGTCCCCCATATCTGTGCCACCCTAAAAGGGGGTCCCCTTGACAGCTATCCTCCAGGTTGAAACAATGTCCTCATCTGTGTCCCCTCAGCTGTGTCCCTCAGTATCTGCCCCAAGCCTGTCTCATGTGAGTATCCCCAGGAAATCTGTGCCCTGTGTCCCCACCTACCTACCGACTGGGCTTCCCCAGAGCTCACTCAGGTCTCTCCATGACCCAGATATGTCCTCCCAGGGTCTGCTTGTGTCTCTCCATGACCACGCAGGCCCCCAGGAAATCTGTGCCCTGTGTCCCCACCTACCTACCGACTGGGCTTCCCCAGAGCTCACTCAGGTCTCTCCATGACCCAGATATGTCCTCCCAGGGTCTGCCTGTGTCTCTCCATGACCACGCAGGCCCCCAGGAAATCTGTGCCCTGTGTCCCTACCTACCGACTGGGCTTCCCCAGAGCTCACTCAGGTCTCTCCATGACCCAGATATGTCCTCCCAGGGTCTGCCTGTGTCTCTCCATGACCACGCAGGCCCCCCGGGCTGTGGCTGTGCTCCCGGAACCAGCTCACTGTCCCTCCCACCCTCCTCCTCCCACCTGGAGCTCTGCTTCTCTCTCTGGATCACCCTATGTGAGCAGTGTGAGCCCGTTTCCTCAGTACCAACAGCCAGTCTGTGGCTGTGTGTATGTTTGTCCTTTGTCTGCACCTGCCAGCCCCGCCTCCAGTCTGTAAGGGCCTCTGGCCATGCCTCTCACTCAGCCTGCTTCTCCATGCCCAGTGGGGACAGGGAGGCACTACCCATCTCTGGATGGAGGGAGGAAGGATGGGTGTGCAGGGCCCGGCCGCCAGCCCTACCTTTGCTGCAGTAGTTCTTCCGGGCAGCATCCAGGGGCCTCACCACCTTCCCAGGCTCACCGGGGCCCAGCTGGCCCTGCTCGGTGGGTGGGCAGCCTGGCTCGCAGACGGCTTGTACCTGCTCAGCCTTCAGGGCAATAGCCTGCTCCAGGAGGCCCAGGTTCCCACGTGTCATCATGTCATACATCTCCGACTCGTCCGTGACCGCAGACTTCTGGGAGCGCGAGTCTTCGTCCTTGCCGTCATCAGAGTGCACCTCCACTATGACAGAGTACTCGGGCTTGGGGCTGGGAGAGGCCGGATGCCGGAGTTCGGGGGCCTTCTGGGTGGGGGCAAGGGGGGCATCCTCCTGGCAGATGACCTCAGGAGCGGCTACCTCCTCCTCCTCCTCCTCTTCCTCCTCTTCCTCCTCCTCCTCTTCCTCCTCCTCCTCCTCTTCCTCCTCCTCTTCCTCCTCCTCTTCCTCCTCCTCCTCCTCCTCCTCCTCCTCCTCTTCTTCCTCCTCCTCATTACCCAGGGCGACTTTCATCTTGCTGGACTCCTCACTGGCCACGCCCTCCACGGACTGGGGGCAGAGCTCCTGGGAGCGCTCCCTGGTGACTCCCGCGACTTCCTCTGTATCCTCTGGGGGGAGGAACACGTCCTTCTCCCCCTCATCACTGGTGGCCCCTTCCTCAGCCTCCTCCTGAACCAGGTGCACAACACCTGGGACCGGCTTGGCCACCTGGCCCAAGTCCTCCCCAACTAGGGTATCTACAGCGATTTGGCCCAAGTTTAAGAGAGAAGTGGCGATGATCTCCTGGTAGCTGCTGTAACTGCCCTTGGCGGGGCCCGCGGAGCTGCTGATGGGCTTGGGTCCGAAGTGGGGCTTGACAGGGGCCCTTCCTGCACAGAATCAGAAAGACGTGGGAGGAGCACAAGGGGCACCCTGCCCCAACACAGCCTGGGGAACACAAAACCCCGGGGAGGGCAGTGTGTCGGCTGTGGCAGCCCCCCTGCCTGGAACTTGGAGACGCCATGAACTTGTTTTAGGGGGAGAAGGAGTAGAGTCACTACTGTGTTTGAAGCTGAGAAATACTCTGATATTCGTCCCTAATGGTCCTCCCCTTTAGGGCTACTTTCTCAAATCAAGTAAACCTGCATTTCATAAAATGGAACTTAAAGAATACAACGGATTTTTAAAATTGCTTCACGAACGCAAAGCAGAAAACGAATTTATGTTTTTAAAAGACACAAATTTACACCTCTTAACTGCCATGACTCTGTTGTAGTGGGTGCTCACCACACACAGGCCCTGTGGGATGGTCGACAAGGATGCCCAGGGTGCAGGAGCCAGCCTTGCCATCCGCCCATCCCAGGATGGGACCAGCCGGGGCTGGTGCCCAAACCCCAAACTCCCTCCTCTGTAAGAAAGCGGGCAAGCTAGTCCTTTCTCCCTAGAGCACATGGGGCCACACAGCACTTCAAGCATAACCAGAGACCCCCCAGGAGGGAAGCAAGTGTGAGGACTCTCCCTAAGGATTGGCTACTAAATAAAATAAAAATCCATCTCAGACCCTGCAAGGTCAAAAGACACAAGCACCTTGGGGGCCCTGGGGCGTTGGGACCTCAGGTCTCAGTCACACCCTCAGGACTCTGAAGTCTGCCAGACTGGGGGGCACATGGACACTTCCCTCCAGAACCTGGGGCCACTTTTACACCAGCATTTGCCAAAGTCTGGGTGCCCCCCCAGGGAAGAAAGTGCAGCAGGGAATCCCTTCGGTTCCCCATCCCACCCCAGGCTTCCCTGGATGCCCCCACACAGTCTCACCTGATGCCAAGCAGACCCCTCACCCCCACCCCCAGCTGCTCTTCCCTGGGGCCAAGTGGAGTGGGGGGGGTCTGTCTGAGACCCCCTCCCCCCATGCACGGACGCACAGCCCATGTCCATCTGTCCATCCATCTTTCCCATGCACACAGACACACATCCACACTCACACACACAGTGTTCACAGAGATGCGCCCACAGGCCCCTCAAACGCCCTGTACTAGCCCCTCTCCAGGAAGCCCCAACAAATGTCAGGACAAGACCTCGCTTGTTCTCAGGAAGGGCCTCCTCGGCGGCCCTTTCACTGACTCGGAATGGGGGCCCCCTCCCCACTCACAGGCTGCGATTCTCCAGGGCCACACTAAGCGCCCTTTATTTCGGGGGAGAAAGAGCCACAAAGCACCTTCAGCTGGCTCAGGACGATGAATCTCCTCCTGTCCTGACATTTCAGCCTCGTCCTCCTCCAGAGTTCCTTCCGATTCATCTGAAACAGAGGCGTCCTTCACCTCGGCGTCCTCACTGCCATCGGTGTCCACGCTGTAGCCCTCGTCCAGAGCCAGCTTCAGGGGGTGGGACTTCCGCGTAGATGCCAGGTGCTCGGCCTGGGCCCCCTCCAGCTTCCTCTTCTTGGCCAGAGGGCAGCTCTGCAAACTGGGAGGAAGGGGACCAGGGCCACCCTGTCAACACTCTCTGGGAGTCCTCCCGCCCGCTCTCCACCCTCGGCAGCCGCGTTCCCTGTTGTGAAAGCTTGTCTTTACATCTCATCACTATCCCTCAGTTAAAAGCCCCACATTCACGACAGGCAGGTTGATGTGCTTAACAATTTACATGAATTGTCCACATTAAAAACTCGTGATGTGCTTTAAATTACATCTTGTTCTTCTCTCGTAAGACCTAACTTCAGAGGCTCTGTCCACACCATTCCCCCTGTGGGGAAGAGGAGGGCACTGGCGCTCTGTCAGACCCAGCCCACTTCCTTCCACCAAGCAGGTCATCAGGATGCCCTGGGCCCTTCCTTCTCCACCTCCAGACCCTGCACACCCTCACCCACCCACAGTCAAGCTAAACTGCCACCCCCCCCCAGGATGAGAACAGTGACGACCAAGTGGCAGCTGATTGGGGTCACCCCTATGCGTGGCAGGTCTGCTCTGAGCTCTGCCCCACGGACTCATCCGGCCTTGCAGCCCCCAACAGAGAGACCCCGGGTTGACACGCCATGGCCGTGTTGGCCTCAGCAGCCGCAGGCACAGTTGAAATGTTCTAGATCTACAAAAGGGCCCAGAGAGGGAGAGGGGCTCCGACACCTCACAGCCCAACCTCTCTCCCAGGAACCTCCTTACCTGCGGTGCCTGGAGTACTTGCCCCGGATGTGTCCTGAGCCAGTACATCCTGGGGTGGGGCAGCTGGGGGGAGGCAAGCAGGGGTGGTCACTTGGGGGAAGGACCCGCCCACCCCAGACCCTCACCCTGGGGAGCAGGAGATTGTCTCCAAACAGTGCATCTCAGAATGGCTGCTTGCAGTTCACTAAAAATTAATGAAATATCTCACCCCATTTAAATAAACGAATGACTCATTACAATTTTATGAGTGTGTTTAATTAAAGATCTGTATGTATGAGATCAAGACTTCCAACATCGGTGTCTCCTAGATGGCTTCTTTTCTCTGTGGATAAGTCTTTCCCACTGCTGGCAAACTGCCGTCAGGCTTCCAAGCAGCTGGGAAACAGGAAGCTCTGTGGAGCGCCCAGAACCAGCACCTGAGGCTGGCCCGCGGGCAAAGCAGGCCATCTCTGGTGCTTTGAGGCCTGCAGCCCCTGCCAGGCACACCCTTGGCCTGGCAGAGTGAGCAGGTGCCTCCAGGCAGGAACGACTCAATGTAGACATGCAGGCCTGGCCCAAGCTACAGGACTCCTCCAGAACCAGCAGCCTGGTACAGGGAGGTGAGGCCAGGTGGGCTGATGACCCAAGGGCTACCCATAGACGTGGCTGGAGGAGCTGCACGGGGATGAAGGCGAGGCCCCCAGGAGTTCCTCGCCCTCCACTGTCATCTGTCTCCCCACTGAACCAAACCACAGAAAGCCCTGGAAACTTCTGATCATGGGCACAGGGTATGCCACCCAATCCTGGAGTCCACTCCATGCAAGGCCAAGATCCTGTGGGCTGCTGGGCACGTCCACGGACCACAGACAGCAAGAAGCGGACATCACCTCCTGTTCCAGAGTGGCAAGCTAATGCCCAGAGAAATGGGAGAACACATGGGAACCTCTTCCCATCACTGGTGCCCCCTCTTTGGAGGGGCCATCCCAAGGTGCCCAAGATGGGAAGACCTTGTTTTTAACAGGACTGGCATCACATGGTCTGAGCTCCCCACCTCAGATCAGGCTCTCCCAGATCCTGCGAGGGAAGAACAGGGTGGGCCCCAGGAGGGGCAAGGCCCTTGACCTCTGGGTAGACACGTCTGATGGTTTCTAATTTGATTGATCATGGGCCTGACTGTAATGCACTGTGGGGCTCATCTGACTCATGGACAGGTCAGGGAGAAACAGGACAGTCGATGGAGGCAGAGCCCCACCCACCCTGAGCTCAACAGCAGCTTTTGGGGGGAGCAGCGGTCTCCCTGCAGCCCTCCAAGCTGGGGCCACCATGGCTGATCTTAGGGCTGGTTTTCATGATTTTAAAAGGAAGAAAGGAAAGGAGGAAGGGAAGAGAGAGAAGAAAGGGAGGGAGGAAGGGGAGAGGGAGGGAAGACATGCCACATTTTATTGTGGATTTCCTTTCCAGACAGACAGGACTTACTGCTGCCCGGGCCTGTCTATACTAAAATCGATGCCCCACGCTTGCTTTCTCTCTCTCAAGAGCTAGCTTTGAGACTCTTCACAAAAGGTCCTTGTTACTGGGGATTTGAAGCTGAGGTCCAATTAGCCGATTAATCACTGAGTTAACCAGGCAATTACGTAACAGCTGCTGTGAGCCCTGTAGGCCACGGGCACTGCCCCTAAACACGTCACCAGCTCCGAGCCACACCTCCAGCCACCAGTTCACAGGAGTCCTGGCCTCCAGCCCAGGCGGCAGCGGGACAGGCCGAGAGCCCACACGTCTGGAGCAGGTGAGGACCACTGTGGGAGAAGAAGCTGGAGCCCCCGCACTCCTGCTTTCCACGACGCGGCGACGGGAGACTTGGCCGAATGCCCCACGGTTCGCACCGTTTCCCCTACAAGCGCGCCCCGGGTGACATCACTGGTGCCCCCAGGGTCCTCGGGGCCAAAGTGAAGAAGCAGCACCAGTTCCAGACCTCAGGAGCCTCTTCCCAGCCTGGGGGAGGAGGCAGATGCAGCCAAGCCTTCTCCCTGAACTCCCCCATGTAGTTCCCTGAGTGTGGCAGAGACAGGAACATAGGCAGGGAGGCTTGCAGAGGGCCTGCTCACAGTCTGCACGGGGCAGAGTCCTGGTGACAGCTTTGGGGCATCTAACCATAAACAGCAGGTGTCAAGGGAAGTCAAGGCCGAGGCCAGGAAGAACCAAATCCCAGCCGGAGCCCTGAACTCAGCTACCACCCCTCAAAGGGACTGACTTCCCTCCAGCCCCCTGGAGGCAGGTGGAGGACCCACCTCCATTCCCATCTGTCCCCTAGGCAGGAGCTGGTCACTGGCTCAGAGGAGGCCCTCAGGTAAGGGAACCCAGATGCAGGTATGACAGATGGGCAACTCTCCTCGAACTTGGAGACAACCCTGAAGGTGCTCTGGAAGGGGTCCGGCGGCTTGCACCTGCAGAGGAGGCAGGTGCCTCACCTTCCCACTAGCCAACACCTCCAAAAGAGCCACTCCAAGGTTGTGTGGCAGCAGATGGTCCCAGACTAAGACACAAATGGAAGTGTCTACCGGTTATTCACTGATGCAAAGGAAAAACCACCAGGTCCGTTTGCTATCTCTTGGGCACTCGGTGTTAAATCCAGGGCACAGAGAAGCAACATGGGCTCCAGAGGTGGGAGAAGGCAATCAGAGCCCTGATTGCTCCTGGTCAGCCTCCTGCTCAGCTCAGCAACTAACAACCACCATGCCACTACCCCAAGAGCAAGCAGCTTCCTGGGAGCCTGCTTGAGCTGGGGAAAATACAAACTGGGGCAGGGGACAGTGGCCAAATTCTGGGACAGGGAGGCAACCGTCCCTCATCCATGGAGCAAGTCCCACAGTAGAGCTTCACCCTAACTTGGCTCTCCCTTCCAGTGATTCTGCATAAGTTTATCTAACATCATGACATCCT